TCAAGAGAACTGGATGCTGAGAAAATTATACTTCTCCCTTCACTCCTAAATTAATGAGGGTGGTTGGGGCTTGAGATAGAGGCATCTGTATAAAGATAGCTATGCCCAGGCTGCATCATTGAAATAAAGGTATCTCCAACGGTCTTTCCACTATAACTGACCTAAAAACCTCAGCATAAAAAAAGAGAACAATCAATAGAAAGATAAGAAGACAAAGCAATGAAATGTATCTAAAAACAGCCAACTCTCCCAAAGCTGATGCATGTGGCGTCATGGAGGAGGAAATCAAAAGCCAAACAGTTGGTTTATATAAAATGATAAAACAATAGTTAACAAACATGATGATCAGCAAGCTTATAGAAGACACTAATGAAAATCTAGCTGAGTTAAACAAAATAATAGAACACACGAATGCTCAGTTTAGAAAAGAATTAATCAGCAAAAAGACACAAACAGAAATCCAGGAGATAAATAATTCTATTGACAATATGGACAACAGTGACCAATATGATGACAGAATGCCAGAATTAGAAGATCCTGGTAACCATATACTCAGAGACACCATAAAAACAAAAAAAAACAAAAAAAAAAAAACATTGAAAATGGATCCAACAGGTGCTGAATGCTGCCAATAAGTCCAGTCTAAGATTAATCGTAATTAGTAGAAAATCAGAAGATAGTGCAAATAATATATATTTAAAAACTTGGCCATGAAAATAAGACCAGAACATTTTCCAAACATATGAAAAGAGTTTAATGTACAGATAAGTGAGGTATTAGGACCTCAAATAGCCACAATCAGAAAGAACTTTTCCACCTCATAGTCAAAACCCTAGATGTTCAACACAGTGCAAAAATTCAAAGCTGTTTCAGAAAAGCACCAAATTATATATTAAGGCAACATCATTAGAATTACTGTAGACTTCTCAAACTTTAGTCCACGAGAGTTGGAAGTAAAGTGCTTTGAGTCCTAAAACGGGGAGGGAGGACTTCCTAGACTGATATAGCCAGAAAATTATATGTTAAAACTGATCAGAATAAAGTTTTTTCATGACAAAGAAAACTTTAAGAGTTTCATGACCACAAGACTGGCACTCCAAAAATTTCTTAAAGATATCCCAGAAAAACACAACGAAGTCAACAATGCCAAAAATCTAGTGGAATGAATACACCAGGCAGGTGAGCAGTTAAGTAGGAAAAAAAAAATCAGTAACAACAAAAGATAATGCAGTGATAAAAATAAGTTAATACATTTCAGTAATGACTCCCAATGTGAGTGGTCTCGATTCCCCAATCAAAAGACACAGATTGACAAGTTGAATCAAAAAACAATTCCCAATAGTATTTTATGTATAAAAAACTATATTTAATCTTAGAAAAGCTTTTCAGCGGCTAAAAATCAAATAACGGAAAATAACATTCCCTAAAAAGGAAGCAGGAATAGTTGTCCTAATTTCATAAAAGGTTAAGTTTGAGTCAAAAGTGAAGAGAAGAAAAAGAAAAAAAAACCTTAAGTTCATTCAATTAGAAATGAAAAATGTGAAATTAAAATCGACACTACCAAAATTTGGTTATTACTAACTCTTTTGACAACTTGTACACCACTAAATTGGAGAATTCAGAAGAGATGTACAGATTCCTAGATATTAAAACTAAATTGATAAAACATAAAAACCCAAATAATCTTAAAACAGGTAATGAAATTGAAACAGTAATAAAAAACTAAGACAACTCCAGTACTTAACAAATTAACCAATAAATTCTACAAGAATTTAGGAAAAGTCACATGTAAATAATCTTCACATTTTTAATAAAATCCATGTCCTCCACTATCTAGTAAACTAACATTAAAATGGATCAAAGATCTAAGTCTGATACACAATCTGTTGAACAAAAAAAAAGATAAAAATATTGAAGCACAGATATAGGCAAGGACTTTTAGAATAGAACTCTAATTTCATGAGAAATAACATCAAGAATCAACAAATGGGATTAAATCAAATTAAAAGGCTTCTATACAGCAAAGGAAACTATCAAAGTATTGGGGCACAATTATAGTGTAAGGGCACACTTAGAGAAAACTTATACATAGTTCATACTAAAAGCTTGAGATCAATTAGAGGTCTATGGTCATGCTCTTATATCATCATATCTATATATCATGTAGACAACCTGCTAATTTCAGTTAGTCTTGATTGTCTGCATCCAGATAATGCACTGAATCACCTTGGCTGTATTTCTTGCTTCAAGGATTTCAGGCCTAGAATAGATTGTCCAGTCAAGGAGACATTTAATTCTGCTTTACTCCCCACCCCCCTTTTCCCCAGAATGTTCCTATATTACGATAAACAATTCTTTTAAGTCAATCTATTTAGAATTACCTGACTGACAATGTATGTAACCAATTATGTAACAACCTGCTATCAGCTTTTGTGCTTTTGTGCTTACAAAATATATATGTTTCTGCTAGTGATTTCAACTTGGTCCCATTAGTCCACCAGTGTAATAAGCAATTGCCTTCCATTTGGTTTGGTACTGCAAAAGAGTCTTCCATTTGGTTTGGGTTGGATTTTCTGTAACAAAAGGAATGAAGAGACAACCTATGGATTGAAAACAAATTTTTTCAGCTATACTTTGAACACAGAACTAATATCTAGAGTATACAAATAACTAAAGAAAATTAGACTCCTCAAAATTAAAGATCTACTAAAAAAAGGGGGGAACTAGGAAGGACAGACACTTCTCAAAAGAACTGTAAATATACCAAAAATAAATGAGCAAATGCTCAATGTATTTGGTCACTAGAGAAATCCAAATTAAAACAACACCAAGATTTCATCATATTCCAGAAACAATTGCTTCATCAAGAAATGATGGCTTCAGGGAAAACAAATCCTTTAGTTTGTTAGGCAGAGTGTAAACTAGTACAACCAATATAGAAATTAGTATGGAGATTCCTCAATAAATAAAAACTAGAAATCCCAGTTAATCCCTCCTGAAAGAGTTAAAGACATCATATTACCATGATATAAATGATGATGTGTTTATACAAAATGTGTAAAATATCTGCCAACCACAAGTCAATGTTCCAAAACAATATTTTTTCCTGAGGAGAAACACCTCTTAAAAGTTGTAGTCAAGACTTGGAAATTGTATCCACATGCACAACAATGGAATATTATTTTAAAAGATCTTTGAAGTATTTTCTGGAGCTTTTGAACTGGACTATTTATATTCATCCCCCTACAAGTATTTTTTAACCAAATTCTCATGAGCCAAAGAGAAATATATAAAGTAAAGCAGATAATCTGGATGCAAATGCAGTGGGTGGTGGCCCAGCAGGTTGAGGTATTTTAAACTCCTTAGTGCTTGGAGCTTTCCAAGACACATAAAAGAGTATCTGGCACATTTTCTAGGGAAGAAATCTCCGTAAACAACAGCTCCTGACCCAAAACATTTCTTTCGAACGGTTTCTTAGAACAGCAGAGAACCCTCCAACAAACTATGTTGTAAAACAGTATTTAGCAAAATTTAATTCAAAATTCAGCAAAATAAACTGCTAAAATATCTAAAACACAGCAACTGGTCCGTTTTTACTTAATTTGAGCTCTTCTTGTCTTCTGCTTTAGTTCTATGCACAGGTTTTAATAATCTGATTTATTTTTCTGCTGTCCATACTAAAAACAAACAAACAAACCCCTCCAAAAAACAAAAAAAGTTTTTCAAGATTTCTTGCTGGCACCGCCCCTAATGAAAACACAAGGCTTAAAACTTGAGATTGAAAGAAAAAGTTAACGGAGATCTCTTTAAAACTCAACAACTGCTATAAATACCACTAAGCTCAAGGAGGTTGCTATGCTATACCTGTCAGGAAGATACGTTTTGCAGTCAAGGCAGAATTGACACCATTCAGTAATTATGTAGCCAAAATTTATTTCTCTTGCATGAGAAACACATAAAGAAGTAAATTCATTGAAAGACTATTTTAAAATGCTCTTCTATACTCATTGAAAAGTTCTTTTTATTACTTTTTATAACTTGCAGGTATTTATGATCAGAGTAAATGTAACATTTGTTGGAGGACAAAAGACAGTAATGGAAAGGTTTTGAAAATTACTTTCGTAAAACTAACTCAATGATATAATAAGAAACCTTGTCCTCTACCAGTTTTTGAGATATTTTAGTCCAGGGAGAATGGAGTATCCCACTCTTATCCTAATGATGTAAGGAAGGTGAATTTTGACTCAGAAAAAGCCTGACTTACAATCAAGGTGCAGAGCTTAGGTCAGAAGTTTGAAGATACAGTATTTCACATTCATCTTAACTTTGCAGTTTCCAGGAAACTAGGATCTTGAGATTGCTTGTCACTAATTATTTTTCTGAATAAAATTCCAAATAGTGTTCAGTGGGCTCTAGTTAGGGCAGACGGTATGTGTCCTTCTGAGTGACTGTCGCTTACTTCATACACTTTCTCATGAACAACTATCTGTGATATCTGTTAATGGTGACTTTTGCTTCCCCCGCCTCTTTCTTGAAACCCACTCAGCACAAACTTATAATCTCTCTAGCTTACTCTGAGATGCCCTGGGATTTCTCATAGCATGCAGTGTATCACTCTGCACATTTAATTTTAACAAGCTTTTATGATTCAAAGGCTTAGCAGTCGTAGGGAGGGGCCAAAGTCAAAATGCAACAGTTTATAGTAAAGAGATGAATTTATATTGCTACTATAAAACCATGTTATATTTACTTATGAGCATTACAGTCTTACATATGAATAAATCTAAAGAATCTTCTACTACTATTAAACCTCCAAGGCTGTAGGGAGACGACACCGAGACAACCAGGGATTTACCACCCCAGGGAAGAAGGCCAAACAGCCAGAGGGATCCCATCCTCATCTCACCACACATCCCACAGACTCAGGAAGCAACGCGCATGCGCAGCGTCTGCGCCGCGGTCCTTTCCTGCGCCTATCTGCATCCGGGTCCTCAGGCTGCGCGCCGCCCGCGCCGGGTTGGGGTCGCTCCTCGGTGCTGGGTGTTGGTGGTCCTCGCTGTTCCTCCTTCTGAGGTCTGTGGGTCCGGTGGTGAGTTTAGGCGACCGGCTTAACACGAGGACCCTGGCGGACCTGGCTGGCGGCGGCTCTTCCCAGGGGTTTGTGCTGACCCCGGAACGCGGCGCCGGGTAGGTGGGTCCGGGAGCCTGGCGCCGGGCGGCTGGGGGTTCCCGGCCTGGCGGTGCGCGGACCTGGCCGGTCGTCTCCGGGTCTGCGCGGCCGGCCGGGAGGTGGTTTTCTTGGCCTCTCCTCTCGCGCGCTCTGCTCCTGACATCTCCGCTGACACTTGTTAGAGATCCGTGACTGACCTTTTCCTTCGCTCCGCCGCAGTTTGCGGAGGGACCGGGCCCGGCGGCCTCGCAGTTGTCCCGGGCCTGCAGCCGCGGGATCCTCTGCCGCCCCTCGCCCCCTGGGGACCCTGTCACCCACACGCGGCCGGGCCGTTCTGCGTCTGTGCGGTCCTTACTGGGCCCGGCGACGGGGAGGCTCTTCCTGGTTCGGAGCAGCATACTATAGAGAGAAACAGTGTAGATTGTTTTGGTTTCCAGTAACCAGCTGTGTAACTTAAGTGCTGTGGGAGTTTGCATCCATCCCAGAAGTTTGGAGGTTTATGTTCAGCTGTCCGTTTCCTCCAGATGATGCACGTACTAAAATGAATCAGCACCTGCAGGAAGGACTTGGCAGTATTGGTTTTTGAATGCCATCTGGTCATGATGCCAGAGTTGCGGTCTGCCACGGCAGTTTGCAACTCTGAGGATTGGCAGATATTTGAAATTGGCTCATTAAAAATCTGAATGTTGAAGACTATTTTTTGTCTTTCTGGGTGAGAAGATTCAATTTCGATTTTGGCGGGGAGGATGCACTCTTTCACCACTGAAGAGTTTTTGAGGAAACAAAAAACTGCCTGTACCTTGTTGGTCTGAGAAATTTGCTTGAACTTTTTTTTGCAAGGAAATATATGTATTTCTTTTTCTAAATTTAGATCACTTGTAAGAAACGTCTTGGGTTAAATAGAGATCTTTTGTAGTTCCTTCAGTTCCGTTGAACCACTGACCAAGAAGACTAGCCTGAGAACCTATATTTTCAACAAGCACACCGAATGTTCAGTCAGTTTTATGAGCATACATCTCTTAAGTCAGATGTAGTTTAATAAGTCCAGCTCCCTCTGAAACTTAACAGCTTTATAACATTAGTAATTGTCTCAAGAGTTGCAATTTACTAGATTTGAAGAGCAAGTATGATAGTATCAACCTCAGAAACTACTGATAGTATACTTTTAAGTAATAGGGTCCTTAATCATGCTTGTGCCTGTAGCATAATGCTTAATAGATACAGTAGTGAATCCTCAAAGAGTATGTTTGCCTGAGGAAAGTTACACTGTGCTCAGGACACAGAAGACACAAGCAAAGATCTAATGCCTCCTTTTCTTATGTTTTTCCCCCCCTTTTCATTAACAATTAGTTTACTGATTTTTCATTGTATATCCTTTGGCAGTCATGGCAGCAACTGTTTTTCTGTCTTTAGTGTAACTGAATTTGATTTTGATGTCACATTATTGATGTACTTAAATGGAGGCTGAGTCCATTTGTTGGACTGAATTTGACTAGTTATTTTCTGTTAATTGTGTTTATCTCTTATTATCATACCACAATGCTAGACTATTGTGATCATAATTTTTTATTCTTACCTCAGAATTTTAAAGCATTGTGTTAAGTATATGCTTTAGATTCCATGTATTCATTGTAAGATCTTCTATTTCCATTAATTTAAAATATTTGACTTAATATGCCATGTAAAGTGTGTAGGTACAGAACTCGGAAGTGTTGAAGAGATATCATGAAATTATTGGAGTTGATGACTGAGTCATCTAAATGTAAAACTAATAATATCAGAATTAGGATAATAGACAACACTATAAATGTAAATCTTGACAACATAAAAATAACATTTCATACATAAATTAAGTATGAATTCGTATAAGAATGCTAAGGTCCACATCTTTCATGTTAGTAGACCCCTGCACAATATCCCTTAATATTCATGTAATAATTTTCTTTACCTTAATCTTGTAAGAACTAAAAATTGTTTTTTGTGATTATATTTTCCAGTGTATTAGCTATCTGGAATACTCTATATGCCTAGAAATAATGAGAAGTATTTTTGAGTGGTGGAATGTAAACATTGATTAACAGAGGGAGATTTGGTTATTATTATATTATAGGGAGAGTTCTAGATTTTAGTAAGTAACCAGAAGTTATCCAGTAATTATTATTTCCATTAACTTGTGGGCAACAAATTTTGTTTTTTTTTCTCTTTAGGCTTCTTTGGTGTTGCATCAGTAAGAGTATATATATATTTCTGTAAGATATAGTGTGCTGTCTGTATTCTAAGTTTGCCTTAATTTGATTGAATTCTGGGTTAGTTACTACCTGTCTGATCTTGGTCAAATTACGAGTCTTTTCTCATCTAAAATTGAGTGTTTATTTACTTCACAATATTAATATAAGGATTAATATATGTATGTAAATAAGCTAGCCCACTGCCTAAAAATCAAAATCTAGTCAAAAGAAAGTTATTATTACTACTTTAGAGGTACTAATTACATTTTTATACGTATGTGTTCTTAATTGTTAAGTAATGCCCTTTTCAAAATCATCAGTGTTATTGAACTTCTGTTTGAGTGTTTGTAAATTAACTTAAAGTGCTGTACAATGGAATTTTCTCAGGTTTTAACTTCTTGTGGTACAAGCTGTGCATCACCATAATGAGGCTTGTAATTCTTGATAACTATGATCTGGCTAGTGAATGGGCAGCCAAATACATCTGTAATCGCATCATTCAGTTCAAACCTGGACAGAACAGATACTTTACACTGGGCTTACCAACAGGTAATAAGCATCTTTTTCTGTTCTAGATACTCAGATTGTAAAATTGCAGAGTTGCTCTGAGTAAAATGCTTTTTCTGTCTGTTACTTGGTAAATCACTGATTGAATATATTAGAATATAAAGCCACATATGTATGTATGTGCTTGTTGTGTGTATATACATGAAATGGAGTCTGTGCATACTGTTACTATTTCCTGTGTTAAAATTCTGTTACACTTACTACTCCAAAACATAGTAGTAAATAATGTAACTTAAATGGTGGTAATAGTATTTTTATTTTTAACCTTTTTCTAGTAGTCCTTTGTTTTTATGGCCATTGATTTTCACTTGCATATACTTTCTTAGTAGGTTGGTTTTCTTATTAGTCTTCAAAGTTATTAAAGGATGTGGTATTTCCTATTAATTTCACTTTTTCCACCTGATCGTCTCCTCTTAGTAACTTTTTGCTGTCTTGTTTTCTGCAGTTACTACAAGTGAAAACTTCCTACAGCAAGCAAGATCATATTTTTTTTTTTCTTTGATTCACTTCTGTACTCTGGGTTTCTTTTAGGGTATTTATGTCTTTATCACAAAATAAGTTTATACATAATTATTTATCTTACTGGATTTATTTTTCTGTTGTATTAAAAAATGACCAACTAGTGTCATTTGCTCTTATGGTGCTTAATTTATTTTATTTGTACATGTTTGCAGTGCATCATGATTACATTCATTACAGAGAGTAGGTGTGTGTACATAACACATCTTAATTCTTCTTTTATACCCCCTTCTCTCCTTCCTCCTTCTCTTGGTGCCCTTCCCTTTTCCAGAAGGTCTGTCTCCTTTTCCTTTTATCTGTCTTTTATTTTGCTCTTTATAATTTCAGTTTCTTGTATAAAAGAAAACATGATATTTAGGCTTGTCTGATTTATTTCACTTAACATTGATCTCAACGTACATCCATTTCCTACAAATGATTCAAATTTATGCTTTTTATAGCAGAGTAGTACTCCATTGCATATATATATATCACATTCTTTTATCTGTTTGTCTGTTGAGGAACATATAGGCCGCTTCCAAGATTTTAGCTATTATGAGAACAATATCAAATAAAATCCTGATTTTATTGCACTTTATTTGATGTTTTTAATCTTTGACTCTGCAAATGGTATTTGATGTAAAGTCAACTGCTTTTTGATGATGGAAAGTGTTGTAGTTTACATACCTGAGCCTTGGTTTCCTTACCTGTAAGTCTAGCTAAGAACAATAAATAGTTAATAAATAAGTTAAATATGTCTATTTTTTCCTGTTCCTCCCTCATTACTTTTTAACTACATAAAAGCGACAGTCCTAATTTTTTCTGCTTGGGTAATGTGCTAGAATGATATTTTTCAAATTGGTTTTGTGTGTTGCCTCTTTGTTCTTGTTTGGTCCATCTTGGTGAGAATGTTAAAAGGCCATTTTTGTGAATTAGACGCATCACTTCTGCATGCCCGTATGGCACCCTCCGTTCCATTATGTTGGCCCTGGTGATATTTACTGTAAACCTAGGTTATTTTTAGCCTACTTAATTAATTACATTGGCTTCATTGTGATGCAGAAATAGCAACTTGAATGTGGGGACTCAAAGATCTTAAAGTCCTAAGTGCTAAAAGTACTAAATATGTTTTCAGATATTTAGATCTAAAACCTTCAGCTTTATTTTTGGTAGTATAACTGCCTACTAAGACCTCTGTCAAAGAAATACCTCTGGGAAACCTTGTTGATGTATTCTACTGTTTTCTTCCATTGATCACAGGTAGTGTTAGTTAGGTCCTCTTTCACTTCCCCCACTGGTCTGAAATTTGAACATACGTATCTGTGATTATAGGTAACGTGGTATATGCAACCACAGTTTCTGAGAAACACCTGTTTAATATATACCAGAGCAATTTTAAGGAGCTTAACATTTAAAGGCATGCTGTGGACCAGATCTACCTCCCAGCCTTATTCCCACCATTTTCTTTCACTGAATCAGGCTAGAAAAAAATAGGCCTAAACTTGCTCATTGGTTTTTCTTTTTGTTTGTACTCGTGCTGCATAGTGTGTATATAGTGGAATCTGTATGAGTTTTGGAACTAGATGGACCTGGATCTGCCTCCCTGTCTTCACAGCCATTTGATATTTGGCAAATTCTTCAGTCTTTTCAACCCAGTTCTGTCTCAAAATGAGAAAGATTAATGCTAGTTTCAAAACTTGTGAGTTTTATATCAATTTAGGTGTAAAAATACCAGCATAGTATCTAGCCACATGGGAGGCATACAGATAGTCATTTTGGGAGCTCATTCCCCTCCATCTTTTGTCCATTTTCAGTTACAGCTTGCTTTCTTCATCAGAATTTTAGCCCACCATCAGGACTTGGTTGAAATGCCATCTTCCATCATGCTTCCAACGAAGTTACAGTCTGTTTTCTTGATTCACTGCAGCACTCCAGACTTCTATTTAATTATTTATGTCTTTCCCTGTGTTGTGGTTATTTGGTACTTGTTTGACAGAAAAGGTTTAATCTTTTTGTATCTAAATCATGGTAGGCATATGGTAAATGTTACTTGTGTTAGGAAATGACTGTTGCAAAAAGAATACTAAAATGAAATTTGTTTTATCAGTTTACTCTGTACCATATATTTTAATTTTTCTTTCACACATTGATCAAAAAGTGAAAAATGAATGTTTCTGTCATTACCTTAGTGACCACTTATGACTTTTTATCCATATATCTTTAAATTGAGGGACTCAAAAGAAACAAGATTCCTTTATGCTATCCATCTTTTTGGACAAGTTTCATGTTTGTGATTGTGTTAATCAGCTTTTTGTTACTGTGACAAAATAGCTGAGAAAAGCAACTTAAAAGAGCAACTGTTTACTTTGGCTTACAGTATCAGAGTGTTCTGTCTGTGCTCACATGCTTCCTTTTTGGGGGGGGCCAGTGGCGAGGGTGAACATAGCAGGAAGCATGAGGTGGAGCAAAGCTGATCACCTAATGTGGCCAGGTAAGGGGAAGAAAAGGCTAGGACTAAAATATACCCTTCAGGAGAAAACTCTAATGACCTGCTTTCTCCAACTAGGTCCCTCTACCTAAAGTTTCCACTACTTCCAAATGAAGGTATGACTGCCATCCCTGATTTTATCTGTTGACGAGGTTAGAGCCATCATGATTCCATCACCTCACAGTAGCCCTGTCTGTATTTGCCATGCAGTCTGTTTACTGCTCTGAAATTTTCTCTCTTCTTTTTTTGGCCAGAGACAACTGTTTAGTTCTGTGAATTTCTATATGCTATTTGAGTAGACATTTTTTGTGAAGGGTTTTGTTTGGTTTTGTGATGATGGTTGCACTAGAAATCAGTACTCTAACTAGACTGGGAGGGCCAGGTCACTTAAAAAAGAGTGCAGTCATGTTAGCCTGTTACTTGGAGTTGCAGTACAAAATACAGCAAATTTAGAAAACAAAAGAGGAGGCCATTTGTATTTGGTAAAAACATGTTTCCTATGTAATATTTCATGGAGGTCTTCCAAACAAATCTTTTTGCAAGTATAAAACATGTTAAAAGTTACTTTATAAGACAATAAAATCAAAACAAAGGGTTCAATACCAAGATCCCATTTTCTAGTTCTCTGTCTGTTAAACCATTCTTTTTCTCAACTGCATTTTAGCTTATACATACGTACTGAAGGTAACATGAGATAAAAAAGTCTAATTTTTATTGACAGATTTTTTAGCTTTACTCAACAGTTTCGGCTCACCAGGATTTTAAAATACCCTGCAAAGAGATTAATTCACACTATATTTGTTAATAAAAATACACTTCTAATGATTGCTTGCTTAATTCTAAATGAATAAAATTAAGTAAAAAATGAATATTTTGTAAAAAATGAATATTTTGTATATATAAATGCTTTTAAAATAGATTTTTCCAGTTAGAAAAATCTTTATCTGTTTTAGGGAGTACACCTTTAGGATGTTATAAAAAATTAATAGAGTATCACAAGAGTGGAGACCTTTCTTTTAAATATGTGAAGACTTTTAACATGGACGAATATGTAGGTAAGATATTTTTGAGTATTTTGGATATGTATTTGAAGATGTTCTGTGGTAGATTTTGAATAAAATGGGTATAGAGTATTAATATATTACTTGAATTTGTGCTTGAGTATAAGATATATTGTACTTAGGATATAGTGTACTTTGTAATGAGATTGCAAATAGTTTTAAAAATCTTTATTCTTGTGACAATATTATGTCATGGAAAGAATATAGGACTGTAAGTCCGAGAATTTTCAACCTTTTCTCTACTATTTATGTCATACAACTTTGAACTAATCTAGTCCCAAATCTTTTAATCTTTTTTTTTTTTTTGGTTGGGAAATACTGGGAATCAAACTCAGCACCTCATGCTTATGAGGCAAGTGCTGCACTGCTAAGTGGTATCCCTGGCTCCTTATTTTATTTTATTTTATTTTATTTTATTTTATTTTATTTTATTTTATGTTTTTGGGTACCAGGTGTCAAACTTGGGGTCTTGTGCTTGCCAGGCAGGTGCTGTGCTGCTAAGCTACATCCATGGCCCCTGCACTTCTTATTTATACTTCCTCTCTTCTTCTCTGTGCTTGAGATGTAGTTAAAAGCCATGTTGTAGGCCTGCTGTGGTTGTTCATGCTTGTCATGTGGGTAATCCAGCACTCTGGGAGCTGAGGCAGGAAGATAGCAAGTTTGAGTTCAGCAAGATTAATGAAGCAATTTAGCAAGACCTTGCCTTAAAAAAGTGGCCTGGTGTGTATCTTGGAGTCTGGGTTTAATCCTCAGTGCCACTAAGTTAAAAAATAAGCAAGTACATAAAATAAGGGACCAATATGGTAGTGATAAATTAAGTGCTGTATATTAAAAGTAACTACTAACATTTTTATCCAAAGTAAAGATTATTTATGTTACTACTAATAAAACTTTTATAATGTATTGAGCGCTAACTTCCTTAAGAGGAAATATCTGTGATATATAAAAACCCTGTATTAAAATAAAAATATAGGGATAAATTTTTAATAGTAGTACAAGTGATAGCTAGCGAATCATTATGATGCAGTATGCTTGCATACATCATATAGGAAGAGTAGAAGAGGAACATAATCAGCATTTTAGTTGAACAGTTATTTGATACATGAGTCAGTTTCATTGATTACAATTTTATGGTGTTGGAGAAGTGTATAGTGGTTACGTGGACATGAACTAGAATTCGGGTGTTCGCAGCCCAGTCTTCACGTGAGCTGTATCACCTTGGAAAAAATTCTGTGTGTTTCATTTCCTGATCTGTAAAATGAGAATGATGGTAGGATTTCCATGCATGTTTCACAAATTAATTGTATTAACATACACATATAAATTAATGTAGTGCTGTGTATATAATAAACATTCTACGTAAAATATTTTTTAAATAGATAAGGCATAAAAAGTTAGATTTATTTTTGGAAATAATGAAGTTTTTCTTTATGAATTTATTTAGGACTTCCAAGAAATCATCCTGAAAGCTACCATTCTTATATGTGGAATAACTTTTTTAAGCATATTGACATAGATCCTAATAATGCTCATATCCTTGATGGGAATGCTGCCGACTTACAAGCAGAATGTGATGCATTTGAAAGGAAAATAGAAGAAGCTGGAGGAATAGATCTTTTTGTTGGAGGTATGTAAGATTTTTGTCACTAATTGTTTGCTGATATTTGAATTGTTTTAAATTTTTTTAAAAAATCTCGTATCGCACAATTCAAAGAGCACCCATTACTGTGTAATACCCATAGGTTAAAGTAGAAATAGAATGATTTCCATTTTATTTTTAATCAAAAAAAATTAAAATTCTAACAGGTAACAGACTTGTTTAAATTATTCCTTAAGAGGCAGATCTAAATTCCACTTAAACTCTTCTGATTATCTCTTTAAGGTTGACAATTCATTACATCTCCAAAAATAAGTGACCTGCTTATTGTTAGATTATTCTGGCACAATAGAGAAGCAAAAGTACAAAATAAACAGGTTTATTGAGTTGAGGACATGGAAAGGAGCACACAACCCATGGTGGCTGGGCTGTCTCCTTCGACCTGAGTATGGGATATGGGGCATATGTAACATTTGACTGGGGCGGGCATTGGTGAAACATGAGGAGCTGATTGGAGTTTTCTGTGCGTGCAAACAGGAAGGGAAGATGCAGTTAGGGCTGAAGAAGCAGCAGGAAGTGGTAGGCATCCCACTTTGGCCTTCTGCCACGTTAGAGCACCGCCATAACCATACAGTAATTTATACTGTAGGGCAAGAACCTTTCACTTATCTTTAACTTACTAAATTATATTTTTATCTTTTTCATAGTTTTTTACCTGCCCTCCTGGCTTGCTTGTGATATGAGAATTGAATCTAATTAAATGTTCACATGAGACAAGGGTGGATTTTAGCACAACATGTAAATTACTTTTACTGAGAAAAATCAATAAAAATAATGTAACTACCTTCATCCTTTAGATAATATGAATTAAACTATTAATTTTCTTATTCCAAAATGAATGTTTGACTAAATTACTTGTATTCATATATTTTATGTATGTGTGTGTGTATAATGTACTGACAATAGTAAGAATTTCTTCCTGTTTACTAAGATCAGTTTCTGTTATTATGAAAGATCTGAGACAACTGGCTGATTGCCATGAGAATAGTATATTAAACTAATGCCAAATTGTTTTTTGCTAGATTCTTTAGTATTTTAATATTAAAAATATTAATTGTATTCTAAATTAACTTGAAATTATCTGTATATATCTTACAATTAATTAGAAAATGCTACATTTCATAAATTAGGGCTAGATTGAGATTAATTTATGGTTGAAGTACTACCCAAGTACAATTGAGGTAGTTGGTTGCTCTTGGACGGAATTGGGTTTTATGGTCACATAAATTTGTTTTATGATGTCTGCATGTCTTTGGTAAGTTTACTGAAAATTTTAATTAAATTATTTGCAAAATAGTATTAGCTATTTTCAAAATTTCCAAGAGTTAAGCATACCAACATGTTTTTTGTCTAAAAACAGTTCAAGGTATATATATATATATATATATAGTTTATAATTCAGTCTTATCTTTTCTAAACTGTAGAGACTAGCATAATTGTCCTTTAGTTTATTGAATTATCTGAGGTTTTTACTAAAATATTTCTAAGAATACTTAGATTGAAATTTCTTTTCACAGAAGTTTTTATTCCTTTTTAGGAAAGCCAGTACCACTTACTTTCTTATACGGACCGAAAAGTTTGTTTTTTGTTTTTTTAATCTGAACAAGAATGTGTGTTAATCTATGTTGTTTTTCTAAATAGAAAGTTATCTGTGTTTTAAATAAAATTTGCTGATATTTTGTAATCTGAGAGAACATCTGCACATTCCAGTTTGCTATGTACTGCTTAATTTTGAGATAATTATCATTTCTGTCTGTCAGATTTGAAGACTGAGACATTTGATTGTTTTGTTTTGTTTTTGTTCATTACTAGAGACTGAAGCTAGAGGTACTCTGTTACTTTGCAGTAGCCCCAGCCCTTTTTAAAAATTTTACTTAATTTTATTTATATTTGAGGCAGGGTCTCATTAATTTGCGTAGGCTGGATGCAAACTTGGTATCCCTGCTTTAGCTTACCGGAGTACTAGAAGTACAAGTGTATTTTAGACTAGAAGTACAAGTGTATTTCCTGTATTTTAGGAACACACCAAGAACCTATTCTTTAGATTTTCTAAACTCCATCACAAAATCAACTAGAATTGCTGGAATATATCTAAACTGAGTTGTATCAAAAAAATGTGAGATTTATTGTTATACTAAAAAAGAATATTACTTATTAAAGATTGTTTTAAACGAGTATTTGAAAAATGTCTTCATCTGTGGACTTTTGTCTCTTTCCCTGTTAGTTTAATAACCTTAATTGTGTGTGACAAATCCCTAGCAGAGTTGGTTATAAATAGAAATTACTTGGGGAAATACCTGATAAAGTCTCTCTAATGGTATTTTGTTCTTTTGCCTTCTTTCCAGAATGTATTCATAATTTAGGGTAATTTTTAGGCTGCAGCTCTCTAAAGCTGGTTTCTGGTAGAACACTCATCTTCCCCATAGCTGTAAGTCATTTCTCATTTCTTTTTAGGTAAACAATTCTTTAGTTTATGTACAGTAAACTACCTCAATTTTTCCCTAAAGGTAAATGGAACATACATTGTAATTGTCTATCACTGACTCTTACTACTAAAAAAGTTGACTTTATTTTTTAACCAATTTGTCTTAAGTATCCTATAGTTACCTTTCTTCTCCTCACCAAAGGATAAAAAAACCCCAAAACATTTATACAAGTTTCCTTGTCTCTTCCATTAACTTCATTTCAGTCTTATGATCCAGGGTTTGACATTTTATATATACCATCTAAAGGACTGGCTTACTCTGTGCATGAAAATAAAAGTTAACTTATGTTTTCTTTTCCTGTTTGTGGTCTATCTGTTTATTAGATATATATGTATATGAAAGAATCTGATCTGATTCTTTGTTGATTTACATTTGTTATCATTGGATTTTTCAAGGCCAGGCTTGGTATCTGGGTCTCACCACCTGCCTTTCTTTTGTTCCAGGGTTTGGTTAATCAAAACACTAAGAACTGCCAAATGGGATAAAAATATCAGCTTTATTGAAAGTAAAGTTGGAATAGAGATTGTTGGTTGGTCTTGAAGTCAGAATGAGCTCAGGATTGTCAGTCTGCTCACCGCAGGGAATTAGAGCAGGCGGTCCCGTCTTTTGATAGAAAAGAGAAGGAAGAGTGTATACTCTCAAAAGTTCTTCCTGTAATGGAAAAAGTGTTATTAGAAAGAATAAAGTGTGTCATGAGTTTTTAAAATCTTGCTCCAGCAAAGAAGTGCACAAACAAATCTAGTATCTTACTTTTCTTTTTTACTAGAGGACAGTAGGGACAACTTTGACTTGTCTTGGTTTGGTTTTGTTTGATTGGTTGCCACATGATTGAATTCTTTAGTTTGCTGATAATAGGAAGTGACTCATGAGACCAGAAGCACATTAAATGGGATGATTTGGGTTATTCACAAAACTGAAGTAAGAGTTGAAATAGCTCAGTCTTTGGAAAAACAAGAATGCGAGAACTTCAGCTGTCAGAAATAGGAACTCCTCATCTGTCTTCCTGCAGTGTTGCCATCTAGTGCCTCATTTCTAGATACCTTCTGTTGTGTATCCCATGTCAGTATTCAGATCTGAAGAGTGGTTCTGTGTGATTCATTTGGGACAAGTGTTTATTTCTAGACCACAGTCACTGCCTGACAGAGACAAAAGAAATTATGGTCACTTGAGTCCTTGTAGTGAGAAGCAGAAGAGATACAGGTAGAAGAAACTACTGAATGGCAGTCATCATAGAGTGCCTCCTGTGTAGTTATTCCAAATGGTAAAGATACATGAACAGAAAGCCCTTATGCATGAAATTTATATTCTACACACAGAACTAAAAGAACAGAAGACATGTATCAGTCAGTGAGTTTTTTTCAGATGTTTCATAAAGATACTGGTGTCTTAATTTAAACTTAAGTGTAAGAACTAGCCAATTAAACACTTGTATCAGCTGTTTCACTTTTTCAGTTCCTCATGACCAATAATGAATGTGTTGACATGTCTCTGTTGTTAACCTTTGCTTATAATTTGTTCTGTGTGACCCAGTTCACCAATAAGAACACTAGTGTTGATATTAGTAGAGTCTTTCGGGTTTTTTTTTTTGTGGTCCCATCTTTTACTCTTTATACATATAAAGAGCAACATTTATGCACACCTAAAAGGAAGAACAATACTTTTACAAGTCTAGATAGAAAGATATGTGTAATTAAAATTTAAATTTACAAGTACATATACATAATAGTAGAATTTATCCTTGGAGACTAAATTAAAAATTTATGTCACTATATTAAACAGCCTTAGATTGTTGTGCATTCCTAGTCTGTATTTGTTTCATATTCATTATTTTCTTGACCCTTCAAAACTAGGTAGCTGTCAGATTTTATGCTATTGTGGTTTGTGAAATTTTTGTATTAGAATTGTGTGCTAAAAAAATTTAAAAAAGAATTGTGTGCTAAATGTCAGTAAAATATGCCTAACATTATTAAAGTGAATATGTAGGATATAAATGTAAAAAATATTTTAATGACTTAGAGAACTTTTAGTTTTTAATTGAAGTTGCTACATATTTAATTACCATTGTAAGAATATATAAAAGTTCATTTATTTTATAAATTATTTTGTAAAAACTTACTTCACAATTTTTTAAAATAAGAAATGCTGTGTTCCTACCTGTATTTTAGAGGCAATTCTAGAATATTAGAATTATCTGTAATTCTCATTAAAACAGTATTTTTCAAACTGTTTTCTTTCATTATGTGGTTGCAGGATCAAAGTAACAGTCACAAGTAGCATTCCCATTTTGTTTCTTTTATTAATAATACAGAATAAAATAAAAAGCAGCTTGTATGGCTCCTCGTAAAACCATGTATGATTTTATATAATTTTCATTTTAATTGTACTTACACGTTTGGGTGAGATGTGTGTGTATACTAGAATGTAGTGTCAAATGTTACTTCTTATCAATAGATTGAATTTAAAAATGTTTAAAAAATTGTCCAATCTGTATTTTTATAAGTGAGGAAACTGTACTACAGAAAGTTCTAATAGTTAATTGTCCCATTCTGGACTAAAACCAAGTAAATCAAAACATGACTATAAAGAGCACTATGTTAGGATGCAAAATATTTAGATGTAAGTCTGTTTGGTATTTACTAAACTATAAGTGACCTTGAAAGGATTACTTATTTTTTTGAGCCTTAGTCTCCCTTTGTTGTATTAACAAAAAGGTGGAAGAAAGGAGGAAAATAGATTTGCCTTCTTACCATCTAACAAGATGTTTAAATACATCTCTTGTAATAATGTATGTGTAAGTGATTTATGAATTCTAAGGTGTTAATTTTACTTAATTTTAAACTTAATTTACTGCTATTATTAGAATCTTGCCAACTCTATGCTATGATATGCACATGGAAATAGTTTGTTGAGTAAAATATACAAATAAATATTTTAATGCGTTATTAGGAATTCGGCTATAAAATAAAACCAGGTAAGTGTCTTTTCAATTATTTCCTTGCTCTTAAAACTATATAGAACTTTGAGAAAACATATTTACTATATATGAAAAACTTAGTTTACTTCATGTTTATGTGTGTATATGATTCTTTTGAAAGGAATAGGTCCAGATGGTCATATTGCTTTTAATGAACCAGGATCCAGTTTAGTATCAAGGACAAGATTAAAGACTTTAGCAATGGACACCATTTTGGCAAATGCGAAATACTTCAATGGAGATTTATCAAAAGTGCCAACTATGGCTCTCACTGTTGGTGTGGGGACAGTGATGGATGCTAGAGAAGTAAGAATTAAATGTTCTCTTTTTTCTATGATATTTAAGTATTTTGAAGTGATTATAATACATGTGATACTTTGTTACATCCTGTTTGCAATAAAAATTGTGTTCTTTGCAGTCACAGAATTTCATATTATTACCATGTTCAGGAATCCACTAAACACAAGTATCTGAAGCTGTAAAGAATTACATGTACACCACCTCTGTTTTTTTTTTTTTTTTTTTTTTTTGAGACAGGGTCTCACTGTGCAGTTCAGGCTAGCCTTGAGCTCACTTTGTAACCCACGCTGGTCTCAAGCTCACAATAACCTTCCTGTTTCAACCTTCCAAGTGCTAGAATTACAGGCACGAGCCACCACGCTCCACTGTTCCATTCTTTTGATGCACTGTTTCACTTGTGTATTCTTACATCACAGTTAGGATTTGGAAATCTTACTAGTCATATGGTTTGTTTGTAATTGAAATAGTCTTGTAAAAGCACTGTTGGGGCTAAGATGCAATCTTAGAATACTTTCCAATTTTGGAGCCCTCAGATAATTAAACATAAAGTGCTTCTAATTCCTTGAGAATAACAACAAATTAGAGTCAGTTTATGATTCCACTGTTTAAATTATGTGGAAGTCAAGATTTCTGTTCTTTCCAGTTAGCAAGATTGGACAGGTTCAAAGGAAGGGGATAAAATATGATCCACAATTATATCTAGTCTTAATAAAATTATCATTCAAAGTATAGAAGTTCCTCATTATCCAAAAATCATGAATATCTGAAAAAGGCATGTCAAGGACTGAATTTCATACAGGTAAGTTGGAAAAAAGGATTTTAAAGTAATGTTATTTCTGAAAGATGAAACTGAAAGTTATCAAGTAGATTTCTTAAATTTAAGATGATCCCAATTTATTATAACTGATTTATACTGAATTTTAAAATGAAGAGAAAAATTAGTCAAGTACCAGTTTTTTGTGTTTTTTTTGTTTTTTTTTTTTCCCCCTTTTGGTCACTTTACAACAAAATTATGATGCCATAAACCTAACAGTATTTGTTCCCATCATGATCATGAGAAAAAAAAAAAAAATCTGTATGCCAAAACTATTCTCAGGCTTCCTCATTTTCCCAGGGACCTCTCTTAGTTCTTTGATGTTCATAGCATTCTTTTGAAACAAATGTTATATTTTACAGGTTTTCCTACTTTCAACTGTTACTGGCTTAATGTAAGCAGATTCTCTTGCCAGTGGTTTTATGAGCTATCTTTTAGCATCATTTTTCTTATCAGCACACACATTTGGTAATCAGAAGCTATAATGAATATTTAAATTTTTAAGAACTTACTATAGTGAAAGATACATTTACCAAAAATAGTGGGATATGTGTTTAAAAATGGGTACTATTTCAGTATTTTGGTGAAGCTAAATACTGAAGTATCTTTAACTGTCATTTTTAACATTTGAACATTCACTATAGTTTCTGATCACCACATAAGCTTAAATTTGAATCTGTGTCTGGGTCAGACATTACTAAGTGCCAGAGTTTGAAAAGGGAACTAAATTTTAAGTGGTGAGCTCATCAATACCTGTTTTCCCATTGTGGCAGCTCATATGAGGATCTTCTGTACATTGGAAGTTATTTCAAGTTTCCTTTAGATTTGGGAATTGTCAGCTATCTAAGGAACATCACAGGCCACTACCCCTTATTGTCAAATTCTTTCTTTGCTTTGGACTCTTCACCATTGATGACATACCAGGATATTCTTTTTCTACTTCTTGTGTTGCCAATAACTCACTATTGAATTTTTGTGGTACTCTTTTTAATATTCTTATATTCAAAGTAATTTTATTATATGCTCCTTAGCACTGGTCATAATTTATAATTATTTTAGTGTGTTTCCTGGTGTATTATCAGTTTCTTCTTTATACTCTCCATGTATTTGTGGGTCATGTAGTATAGCACCTAACACTGCTTGCCACCTAATAGATATTGTAGAGCAGTTGGTAATAGTTTGAATAAATTATTTGTGTTCACTATTTTAGACAAAATTGGTCCTATTCCCAGTTTATCTTCCTGAACCCCTAGAATGGATTTTGAATGACTTTTGGCTAATTTTTTAGAAGCCACTTTACCTTGAGAAGGTAAAATTTGTTCTAAGTTATAGTTTAGGATAATGCCATATATTTTGAAAGTGATTTTCAGTGACACGAACTTTTTAGTTATTGCAGCATCTTTAAAATAAATTTTAATTATTTGACTATTCTTAATACAGGAGCACCAGTAATTCTTTAAACCTACTTTTGACTGCTTTATTGAGAGTCACCGAGGTGACCATTGACTTCTCGCCAAGTGTTACCTACGGGACCTCTTTTTATCATTTAATACTGTTGGCTGTTCTGTCGTTACAGAGCTCTGCATTCTCTCTCCTTGCTGACCATTTCTTCTCTGCCAACTTTCCCAGCTCTTCTTTCATCTGCCTTATGAATGTTGTTTTTCCTGCAGTTTCACTGTAGCATTGTATGTAGCATTCTACATACTCTTCTTGGGCAATCTTCTCCATGACTGTTTTTTTAAAAAGTACTGCATCAATCCATAATAGTCACAACACTGAACATTCCTGCCAGTAGTTTCATCACTACTGCAAAATAGATTACTCTCAATAGAGAACCTGCTAATGCATATCGTTAGCCAGTCTTCTTTCTGCAGCTGCTGGCATCTAGATGGTTAGAGACTCCTTATGTTACACTATTTAAAATATAAATGTCTTTCTACCCAAATTGTCTTTCTTCTAAATGTTGATTCCTAGTGAAAAGCAGAATTTATCACAAAAAAAAAATCTTCTGTTTAAAACATTTATCCTGTGTTCACCTTCTTCCTTTCCACATTTAATCATTCACTAAGTTCCATTTACAGATAACTTGTATAAATTAAGTATCCAGCTTTCTTCATAGTCCTCGTAATCCCATTTCATAATTTTTTAGGTAGAAACTCATCTTGACTCATGGCTATTTCTGGTCTTTACCAGATTGCATGGATCATTTTTCAAAAGCATTTTCTAGTTTATTATCCTGTAACTGTATAATTTTCTGTTCCTCCATTAGAAAATCAAGTTTCACCACTTGGACTAAAATTAAAGTATCCAACCAGTTTGCAGCGATAGTTTTTTTGATTCTGTATGCTCCATCTTTATCAGTCTTCCAGCCCTGTCTTCCCCAAGAGTGGAAATTGAACCTAAGGTCTTTGCATTGAGCTACATGCCCAGTTCTCTGTCTGTCTATCTCTATCTGAGACAGTGTCTCTCTTTGTAGCCCAGGCTGTCCTGGAACTCACAGCAGTCCTACTGCCTCCCAAGTTCTAGGATTACAGGTATGCGTTGTAACACCTTGCTCTAGCTTTTAATTGACTACCCTATAACTCAAATTCTCCATTACCTGGAGATTTTGTTTGTCCATAATAAGACTTAGTTTCCCAGAGGAGTTTTCTGAGCTTTCCCATAAAATTTTACTATCATTATTCTGCTTTATTTTATATTCACAGATTTTTTATGTTGATTACAATAACTCATGTATCTGTTCTTCTGGCATGCTTGCCATCTTAAGGTTGTATAGCGCAGTGGTTCTCAATCATCAGGGCATGTATAAGAATCACTGGTGTTCACACCCAAAAATTGATTCTTCACATTTGAAGGGTTTTTTTTTTTTTTTTTTTTTTTTTTGTATTTTTACCAGTACCAGGGATTGAACTCATAACCACACGCTTGCAAAGCAGGCGCTTCATTTGAGAAAGCGTCTTAAATTATTGATTACAGGTTGTCTTTTTTCATAATAGGATTTCGGTCATTGAAAATAAGAGTAGTTAAAATAAAATAGGTTACAAATCAGTATCAAAATTGTATTTTGAAAGCTATTTTTTACTCTCTCCCTTTTCAGATGTCTTCTTATATTTACTAACCATAAACACTAAATTATTTTTCATCTGACTCTTTAAAGTTTCTACCAGCCTCCATTCCTTCCACTCCCTTTGCAATGTTAATACTAGCACATTGCTACTAATTAACAATGAATGTGCCTGATTTTTCAGGTGATGATCCTCATAACAGGTGCACACAAAGCATTCGCCTTGTACAAAGCAATAGAAGAAGGAGTTAATCACATGTGGACTGTTTCAGCGTTCCAGCAGCATCCTAGAACTATTTTTGTATGTGATGAAGATGCTACTTTAGAATTAAGAGTTAAAACTGTGAAATACTTTAAAGGTGAGCACTAAATTTCAAAAGCAAAGTGTGAGATGTTCTGGTGTAGATGAGAAAACTTAGTATTACTATGGGGATTAAACCCTACTTTACAGCCTGTTGGAAACTCATGCTGATATAACAGCAGATTTTTCAAGGAATAAAACTTTTGGGGTAAGAGTAGTGTTCAGAGAGGTGCCCTATTTTCTTACTCTTTTTTTTTTTTTTTTTTTTTTTGGTGTCACGGATCAAACTCATGATCTTATTATGCTTGCCAATCAGGCGCATATGCCACTAATCTAAATCCCCAGCCCTCATTATTTTTTATTTTTTGGTACTAGAGATTGAACTCACAACCATGTGCCTGTCAAGCAGGCACTTGTGCTACTGAGCTAAATCCCCAGCCCAATCCATTTTTCTTAAAATCTAAAATTTAATATTTTACTTTCATATTGAATATACCACATTAAATAACCAAACAGAATGTGTATCTATGCTTTCTGAGTTTCTTTTCATGTTTACCAGCCCTACCCTAAGTCTCTACTTAAAATCTAATCCATTGTTGATGGATCTTCCACTCTCTCACTTTTCATCATAGTTTGTTTTCCCTTATAATAGCTATGTTTTAAAACACTAGGAAAAATGCTATAAATCAACAGGATCTTCACTGCCTAGACTTCTGCATGATTTTCCTTTTGCTTTTTCCTGCATTCTATGTTAGTAATCCTATAACCGTATTGTACCTGTTTGTGTATTTAAAAAAAAAAAATCACATATGCTTGGCATGATAAGTTGTTTAGATTTTAAGGAATGTTTTTACTACATTAAACTAAGAACTCATTACCTGATTAAGAGTTGGCTTCCTAAACCCAAATACATGAGCAGAAAATTATTTTATAAGTCACTTACAGTTATATAGCTGGTATTTAGAATATGTGCTACTTCTGTTACATACACATTTTAATCTTGTCTAGTGATTTTAACAGAAAATATACTAAGTCAAATCTTTGTTTCATGAATATCATTGCTTGCGACAAGATTAAGCCATGTTTTACTCTTGGACATACTGATCTTTAGTTGGGATGTCTTAAAATTGGTGTCATGTGATACTTAAATTGATAAATTACTTGTAAACAGTACAGAAAATGTCTCAAACAGCATTTCATATTTAGAATTATAGTATGTAATCAATATAATTCAGTTAAAGGAAATCATTAACTTATATAGTTGATATAAATGTTAAAATGGCATATTGAAAGTGGTATGCAAGTAATTGAAGTTTGGCAAGTACTGAAAGTATAATTTTTCAGAGAAAAATTTTGATCTCACTCTGTATAGTTTTATATTTCCATTTAATGTTTTGTGAGCACTTCCCTTCTTTACTAAATATTCTTCAAAGGCATTTTAATAGGTAATGAAGTACATGTATCAAATTTAAACATTTGCTTGTGTAACAATTTTATTTTTTATATTGTCATTTAAATTAATTTTACTAAGCAACAAATTAAGATTAGGAATTGTTGGCTTTGTAATTTGATAGATAGAAACAGAGAGCACCTCAGTGATGAGTTGTGAATAACCTGAGTTTGCAGGTAGAATTTTACCTAAATATTTCATGTAGTTCTCCAGATTTCATATAAATGTGTTCTTTGGAGTTAATACAAACAATACTCATTTTCATTTTTAAGGCATTTAACATGTCCATTTTCTAAACCAGCAATCCCCAGATAAACTACTGTCCTGGTTTTGTCATCCTTTGATCTTTAACAATATGAATTGTTCTCTGAAGACGAACACTGCTCCTACTCTGGTTACTTTCAAAGTACTGAACACATTTTAGGCCTGCAGTTTTATAAATAATTATAAGCTGTTATTTGCTAGGTAGTTAAAAGTATTTTAAGGCATTTCTGTTTATAGTTTTCAATAAAAGTGACTTGTATCAAATGGAAACCAAAAATACTTATATCTTCGAAATATTTTGTTTTCTAAAGTGAGTGAGATAGTTTAAAATTAACAAAAACACAACTAGAACTGTGTTTTTTGTCTTTAAGGTTTAATGCATGTGCACAATAAACTTGTGGATCCGCTATACAGTATGAAAGAAGGAAACTGAAGGACTTTGAAGCAAAATTCTACTTGGAAACACCTTCTTATTAGTAGATGAATTTTCAGCTATGCAACATGATAAATCATGGGAAACACTGAAGATTGTCACTTTAAAAATCCATTATCTATGCTGAACATTCCATATTTAGAATGTCTATTTTACACTAGGGTTTATGAGAAATACTTGGCTATTTATTATAAATTATAGAAAGCTACATACCAACCTGTAAAACACCATACAAATTCTGCTGGTTTCATTTTAAAATTAAAAATTCTATACATTAGGTACCATGTATGATATGATGTAGATTTTTCATTTTTTAATTACAGGAAGACACTCCAAGCTTTTCATTTATCATACCACTATCATTGCAAATTTTTACTCTTGGAATGCTATCTTTAGATTTCTGTGTATTACACACATTCTTTTTTCTGCACGGTGTTGCCTTAGTCATCTTTCAGCAATAGTATGTGGACATCAGAAGTCCCGCTACATATTGTTGGTAAAGAAAATGTGAAGAGATGACAATGTCTAAAAGTAGTTTACATCCTTTTGGAAAGTATGTGTAAGTGCATGTTTTTTTTGCGCACCTTCTTATATAGCACCTTTTTACAAATATGCTCTTATTTTTACTTAATGACTAGGGTTCTTGCTCTCTCTCTCTCTCTCTGGCATTATGAGCTTTATATAAACTTAAACTCTTTTGGAGAATATTTTCTGATTATTGCTAAATTTCATAAATGATTAGCTTTATTCCTTGTGTATATATGTCTAAAGGGATGTATGATATAAAAGATTACTGTAAACCATTTCAGATTGCAATAAATTCAATTAAATTATAGATCTATATTTTCTATCTTTAACTCAAATAAAGCTTATTAATAAGGAAGTTATCTAAATTTTATTTCCAGAAGTGAAACAACACATATATATGTGAGATTCCAACAATTAACAGTACTCCTAAGTAACATTATTTGTTGCCATTATTCAATTAGCAGATTTAAAGATAGTCTTCTTACCTATAATTTTAGTTTTTTGTCTTGTGGAAGTAAAAGAACACACCTTATCCTTTGCATTTTTTGCATTTTATAAGTACATCTTGTAGAAGAAGCCTTGTGTATCTCCTTCATAATCTGATTAAAATATAAGTTATTTAAAAAATTTAAATAGCAAAGGAAATTAAAGAGATAAGGCTTCTAGAGTAAAATAATGCTGCTTTATGTTAAGATAAATTTAATAGCCTTACCAGAGATTTTAACCAGTGTATCAGTAGCATCTGGCAGTAGCAGCTCTGATAATAAGAAATGTTTACTGAAGACTACCTTAACTATCTTTGGTCATAGTATATCGGAGTGAAAAAGCCTAAGGTGTGCCTATTTTGGTTTACCATTCACAGCTATTGCTGTGCTTTAAAGCTGTAAGATACTCTTTTCATTACAACTGATGTTAAGCTAGTTTAGTTTAGGTTCATGTACTCTTAACTGCAGCAAACTACTCTGGCCCCTGTAATTTAGGGAGCTAAGTCAGAAAGTAAGATACTGTTACAGAACTTGAAAGCTTACTGGAGTCATTTCACAAGAAGTAAAATGGACTTTCAAAGAATAAAAGCACTATTTGAATTCCATGTCAATCAGTAACTGCCCTTGGCTAAATATCTTAGCTTCTCTTGTTATATAGATTGAATAAAAGCATAAAGAACTCAGCCATGGTAGCCAACATATCAAACTTAAACTATTTTAATAGTCAAACATCATTGTAGAAATCTTAGTATATAATATTGCTGGTAGTCTATCCTTGTAAGACACACAGCTTGAAGTCACTAAAATCATCTGACTAGTAAAGTGGCCACAAGAGAGACCTTAAACTTTTGACAAAAATTTGCAAAATGAGGTGGGGGGTGGTGCCACAGTCTTTATTTCCCTCTATCCAGGAGGTGGAAGGAGGAGGATCTCAAATTTGAGGCCAGCTTTGGCAATTTAGCAAGACTGTCTATCAGAAAAAGGGCCACATATGCAGCTCTGTAGCCCCAAGTTAATCTCAAGTGCCATTAAATAAAAAGAAAATAATCAGTCTAAAAACTGCTGTTTTGTACTAGGATTAGTACAAGCAAAAAGAGTCATAGGGTAAAGGAGAGTAACATTTGTCAGGAAAAAAAAAGTTACATAACAGACACGGTATCTATTATGTACCAGGTACCAACTTTTGACTTCACCACGCCTGGCAAATACTAACTTTAATTCATAATTAAAACTATCCTTTAATGTAACACACTGAGCATAAAATTCATCATTCATGGTCTTATCCCTAAAAGATATTTTCCTCATTCAAGGTAGATAACAAATATCAATAACAAATTATCTTGTTTCTGTAACATATTCTGTGTGCTCATTTCTTGACAGAATGAAAGTGATTTGAATTAACAGCAATTTACTGTGATCTCAAATATGACATTTAGGCAAATATATACTATAGCCCACTAATACCATATAACCATTTTGCATAAAAGCATTTTCATGGCCAGGAATAATATAATACCTGCCCTAGACTTAGCTTAGAAATATAATGTAAACCATGTAGTTAACTGATTGATAAGATGTCCAAAAAACTAAAGCAAATGTCTAAACAGTGGTTGAGTTTACTTTAGTAAATAATTCATATATATCAGGTATTGATCCAGCTTTGACAATTCAATGATCTTGAAAATCTTTTAAACTAGAGGGAATCATCAATATAGGACCTTTTAAAATGAACACTAAACCTGCATGGGAAAAAAAAGTTAAAATCCAATTATATGTGTCTAACTTTATCACACATTTAATCATTTAATTTTTACAACAACCTGTAGAGGTAAAGTAGTGTAACCCTAATTTTAATGTGCTACAAAGGGCAAGTAATCCAGCCAAGATGACTAATGAATATCAGAACAGAAATTTCAAAGTGTATGCTTCTAAATCCTACCTCTTATCCATGTACAATTCTCTTTCAAGGAAAAGCCAGTAGGTTTTTAAACCTGAAAACCCTAAAAGTAAGCAATTCTTAAAATTTTCATTGTCAAAATATTATAAATTGTAAAAACAATAGATTATACTTTATGAAAATTCTGAATTATTTATTAGATTGTGTTTTTAAAACTTTTATAAAAGCATCTTTTGGAACTTCAATGTTGCCAATTTTCCTCAGCTTTTTTTTCCCTTCTGCTTGTCTCTTCAAAAGTTTCATTTTTCGGGTAATATCACCGCCATACTGAAAAATATTTTGAAAATTTTAAGTTCAGATCACTTCATAGAAAAATAATTACACAATTACATACAACCAGCAGTATATATCTAACAACCTTACCAAAGTATTATCCACAAAGTAGACATTTATAAAAGTTACCTTTCTAATCTTCATGCTAATTTTACTACCTGCTCAAAGAATGACAAAGGCTTTATTTGTATTTCCCTGTTGACTCACAGCTTAGAATTTTGGATTGTATAGCTATAGTCTTGGTATACAAACTCTTACATTGAGACAGCAGACTTTGGCAAAGCAATATAGGAGAGGTAGATACCAATTCCCAGAGTGTTCCCACTATAACAGTCATTTTCTTGAAATTCTGTCATTACACATTAAGTTGACAAACATGTTGCTGAGATAAATAAAATCCTCTCTTTCATAGGAGGAAGTTTTATAAATAAGATGAGAACATGTTTAATAACATAACCAAAATGATGAATTACTGTGTCAAGCTATTTTACCTATTTAAAAAAAAATAAAGGCCATATAAAAACCAGCAATAGAATTAGTAGATTTATGCCCCCTTTGATTTTTAAACCCATAAAACAGACATACTACAAAGTAGAATAAATATAGCTGGATACGTACACATTTTGCCAAAACATTTTTCTTATAGGCTTTCACACTGTAAAAAAGGAAATTTTTATTTAAATGCATTAATTTCATTATACATTTTTATAAGTATTTCCAAAACCAATTTCCCTTTGCTAAAATATTTTAATGACAGTGTCACTACCTATATAAAACTGCCATAAGCAAAAACAGTTCAAATGCTCTTGCATTTGTTTTTGTGTACTTAGTATAAAAGACCGAATAAATGCATGAAGATTATCAACATTTGTGAACTTTATTAAAGGAAGAATGGTCAAGGCTTACAGATAATCAGGCATGATTAGGCCAAATCAGTATCCAAGTATCAGAGTATCCAGAGTACCTTATATCAGGTTATTTCTGGTTCAGCCTAGAAATACTGTTACTACAATAAAATTAAAAATGGCTATTATCTCATTACTGACTTAAATATGTGGACAGTATGGCCAGGAATATAAAAACTATGTTACTTGGCTGAAGTGTTTTTATAACCCATCTCAAAGCAAACTACACACACACACACACACACACACACACACACACACACACACACTCACACACAAACAAGCACAAGGCCCTGGGTTTGATTCCTGATACCAATAATAATAATAATAGTATGTTTAATATGCCCATCTGATTAGTTATAATATTGTAAAATTTCTAAAAAATGTTCATATATCTCTAAAATTTGAAAAATAGCTCCTTTATTCTCTGCAATGTAAAAATTACTGTTTCCTTAAGGAATTCTTTACCTCAACACAGTTTTGACGATGATCATATATTAACTTTGAAATTATACCTCATTATCAGCTCCACTCTGCTTAATTTCTGTGTTTTCACGAAGCAAAACAGTGTTACAAAAATGAACCTGACTTTACTTCAAATAATGGGCATAAAATTTATCTTAAGTCTATATAAAATAACCACTATTACTTCATTAGCTTTGGGTTAAACTCAAATTTAATGGTAATTTTCAGCTTTTCTTGAGTAGACATTCTTGATTTCCCAAAGTCTTAGGATCATAAATAAAAGAAGTACCACAAAATACTTCCTGCATTTGATGCTAAAGTGGAGCAGCTCATTCAGTGATCTGTTTTATACACTGCCCTTCATAGAAGAGACCACTTTGCTATAAAAAAATAACCAACCTTCCATGTCTGCTATAACCCATGCAAGGTCACTAAGCTGAGAATGCAAAGCCTAATGAGAAATTAATATTTTTGATTACAAGTTCCCTACTTCGTAAGAAGTGATACTAGATACTTCAAGTAGAAAATTTTTTTCATTTTTTGACATAGGTTCTCTTATAACCTACCTGAATAGATTATAATCTAACTGGATAAAATATTAGAGATTCCTTAGTCAGGAAAATCAGTAGTCATTCAGTGTGAATAAGCAGAAATTTTCTAATCCATGTATCTTACATTACCATCTCCCAGTGGGGTTACATAGTTCAAAGTAGCAGTCATCAAATCAGTGCAACAGAGTCAGACAGCTATACCTTACTGTTATTTCAAGTAAGAATAAAACTTGGGCCAATGTTAAAGTAAAAGTTTCAGTATTCTTTGGTTTTACAGTTATATCACTTCTAAAGCCAGCCTGGGAACAAAAACCAATTTCAACTCACGTTTCTCTTGCAATGATTTTACTTCCAATAGCAGCTTGAATTGCTATCTCAAACAGCTGCCTAGGAAGAGAATCCTTTAGGCGTTCACATATGGTTTTTCCAACAGAGTATGCTTTTTCTCTAAGACAGAAAAAAAAAAAAAATACAGCTAAGTATATATCTTAATAATTAATATGTCTTTAAAGTTCATATAATGTAAATGTGATTTTTTTAAAAGGAGACTCAAATAGAACTCATATACTGTTAAAAAAAATTCTATACCTGAACCATGAATATCTCTGCTTTAAAAAAAAATATGAACAAGGGAATGTCTGTAATCCCAGTACTCTGGGAGGTGAAGGCAAAAGGATCACAGATTCAAGCCAGGCCTGGGCAATTTAGTAACTTAGGCCATGTTTTTAAATTTTGTTTTGTTTTGTAGCACAGCCTGGCCTTGAACTCCTTACAATATTCCTGCCTCAACCTCCCAAGTGTTGAGATTACAGACATGCACCACTATACACAAGATTCCGGTTCCAAATTTTAAAAATGAAAAAAAGCTGAGGATGTAGCTTAGTGGGAAGGCCCTGGGTTCAATTATCAATACTGGGGAAAAAAAGGTCTACAAAATACAGGAACACATATATTTAAGACAAAAAACGATTCTTAATGTCTTTGTCCTGAAGAAAACAATGAACATTTTATGCTTATTTTAGACATATATCCTTTATCCTTTCCTTACATGTTTGTTGAATTTAGATTACAGTATATACATCCTGTTTTCATAATAAATACTTTTCTGTCATTAAATTTTCAAATGTGTTCGATAATTTATCTTAAGCAATCTGCCAGTTAGTGAATATTTAATTTTTCAGTATTTTTTTATGAATTTAATACCTGTTTCGTTATCAATCCAAAAACCATCATTTTAAAGTTATAAAATCCAAAAACTATCGTTTTAAAATTATAAAAACTTTCTATTTTCACAAAGTATATAACTGAAACATTTCTTTCCATGACATTCTTCGCCCTAGATACTATAACTTTTTACTTTCTCTATACAGTACACTGGAAAGAAGTACAGAAAACAACAGAAGGAAACATACAGAGAAATCTCTTTCAGTTATCTTTGTTTTTAAAATGTAGCTTCTCAAAAATGTCCAATAAGAAAAACATGTCAAAACCTATTATTATTTTTACCTTCGTGATAAATTTCAATTAAACTTACTTATGTACAACAGTTACTAATTCCTCTACAATATTTCCATTCAGGAGAATGTCCATTTTTACAAGTTCTGCTGTCTGGTAGCCTGCATCTTCATAATCAAAGCTAATAAAGAAAAAAATCCAAATGATAAACATTTTCAACAAATTAGATTTTCTTTACGTCTCTTCTCTTTTACAGAGAGAGGAAGATGACTATGGCTAAGCTAGAGTAGGTTAATGGACTGATAAAGTCGAGCGCACCTCTTTTCTCTGCTAGTACTACCTCGTGCACGTTTGATACTCTCATTAATATTTTTTTACCTAGCGTCATTCTCAAACTTCATAAATTGAGTTTCTGTGTCATATGCTATTAAGAATGACAAGCATGTGTTTAAATAGTAAGGCAATGACAAAACAGCCATGCATGATGAACCCTTCACCCTTCACCAGGCTTTTGTAGCAATTAAGTAGCACTTGGAGTACTACCTAGTGCACACTAATTAAAACAGCACATACCACCACTTGGTTTAAGCTACTATATTAATAATATGGACAAAACTTACTGTTTAACTTATAGCAATACCTCAGAGAGAAATTTTCCGTTCTGTTTACAAGTCTTCCTATCATGGACATATATATCCCTTTACCTTCAAACAATTGCATATATGTTTGGCTTCTAAAATTTTCACTCTCCTTACAAAATTATTATTTTTAAAAAGCTCAACCTTTCTTTATTATAACTTGGCTATACTAAAGGCAGTATATTAAGGAATATGGAAATACAAAGAGATAAAATGTAAACGTGTCCTCTGATGTTTATGGCTTTAGTATTTTAGAATATCTTATGTTTTCAAAAGAAACCACTATATAAATAATGGAAACATAACGAATAAAAGGCAGGTACTTCACTGTTAACTGAGAATATGGGAAACACATTTGAAACTCCAGAAGGGTTACTGAATTTGGAAGGTGAGGTTTGAAGGCAAACAGCTGTTTGGTTTGGCATCAGTCACACCCCTTGTTGTAAGGGAACTGCAACACGTTCTTGCTATTTGGTATAAAATATATTCTTGCTGACCTCAATCTGTGGGATATCTGTGATCTAATGGGTTTCTGTTAAGTGTGGAATTGACTATATTTGATAAATATCTTGAGTATAAGAATACATGTGACTTATCAAGCTGCAGTATTTTCTTAAATAGTTCAAAATAAACCATTTTTGAAGTGTTTGAATCCTAATCTAAAAGACTGTAAAATGAGTCAGAAAGTAGTACCCAAAGACAACTTATAATTCTTTTGCCTAAAGTGTTACACAAACCTTAAGCCTACTAATCATCCTTTTAATTCCACTAATGGTTTAAAATGCTATCTCATTATTGCACTTACTTATTGAAAGTTTTGTTGAAAAGATCTATAGAAAGCCAGGGATTTAGCTCAGCAGCAAAAGTGCCTGCCTTGCAAGCGTGCAGTCATAAGTTCAATCCCTGGCACCAAAACAATAAATAAATAAATAAAAATTAAAAATAAAAGATCTATAAAAAAATTAAAAAATAAAATATCTATAAAAGAAACGCTGGAATTCTTCTCTTAATATACATGCTTGTGCGTGCTTCATTTCATCCTTTCTGCTTTTCCCAGCGTGCTCTATACACTTTCATATTCTACTGTGTACTTCTCTATCCTGTAAACATTTTAGGGTGATAAGGGCATCTTGAGTTATTTTCTGTAAGAGAAAAAACTGTGAGAATTCTATGCCCTTAGCTCCTTATCTGTTAATACTGATCTTCCTTTCACTTTTATCTGCCTGTACTCCATATGTTCCTAAGAGATACACAGTAGTTTTTATGATCACTTATTCCTGGGAAAACCAAGTTATTAAAGTATACATAAATGCAAGTGTACACTGAGAATTTTTTTTAATAGACTGAAGATGTACTTCTGTTTTTCAAATGTAAACAGATGGTTTCTGGGAACTCTTTAATATATAACCACATTTTTAAAATACCACTAAGGTCACAATAGCATTTTGGAAGTATGATCAATTCTTAACCAAAAGATAGAATACACTCTTCATGAAGAGAGTAACACTTTTTCATTAAGATGAAAAATCAAATTGATGATAAGTCAAAAGAACTTTTTCTTCTATAAGCAAATTACAAATATTCTGTAACACTTAAAAGGCTATTGCAACCATTTTTAACTTTAGACTATTGTTCTCAACTCTCTTAAAAGACTTGAGATTACTAAACAGGTGAAATATTAGTATACTTGTCAACATTTCAAAGCAGTTGTCTAGCCATTTGATATTCCTGTTAATTTTTTTACCTAGCATATCCAGAAGACAGGGATTTCAAAGAGTCGTAAAAATCAACGACAATTTCATTCAAAGGGAAGAGATATTTAAGCATAACTCTATTTTGATCAATGAACATTAAATGTTTCTGAACTGCTCTTCGAGCCTAAAACAGGAAGAAAAAAATGTATTCAATGATAATTTACTCAAATAATGATCTAAACTGATAGATAAAGATGTCAGTTACCAAGATACAAATCTAATAAAGAGTGGACAAACTGAAGTATTTTTTCAATGTCTCAAGCAATATTTTTTGATACAGGTAGCATTTTTTAATACAACCATTTTTATTTTAGTTATGCTTGTGACCAAAGCTTTTAATCCCTTGCTTTTAAGTTTTAATTACAATTATTTCATTTAGTGTTAAGTCAAATTATTACAATCATTTCTAATTTTTTATAAATTATAGAGAAATTAAATGACTAAAATTATAATACAATTTGTGACCATAAAACTAAAATTCAAGTCTTCTAATCAGTATTTGACACATTTTACAATATGCTACTACAGTATTTCAAAGGAATTTTTGGGAAACATGAGTATATGTAGATTACTTATTACAGTATGATTACAACTATAATGCAAAATGTGGGATATCATCCAACCTGGAGTCCTAAAATTTTATAATTATCTTTCAAATAATATGAAATTTGAAGTACCCAAAAAGACTGTAAGAAATCACACTTTTGATCTTTGATCAGTTATAAACACTAAATTTCTTTTGGGCTAATGTGTTTATTTGGTAGGTTAACACATGATAAAAATTCCTGATTATAGTTTTCTTATTAAAATTGAAACAGTTTAAAAAATATATGTATCTATCTACATATATGCATGCAGACAGATACATATAAAAATCTCTTTATTGAATTGTTTGTGAAGCAGAGGAAAGTTTCTCAAAACCGGAGCTAGTAACTACTGCTTCAAAAGTCTAAAACCAACTTTTGTAATAAACTCTATGTATTTTTACCTGGCAAAGTGCCATTATTTTCCCAGTATATTCATCTGGTGTGATAATAGTACCCAGAACAACTGGCTCCAGATACTCTGCTACTTTTGATTTATCAGGGAATTGTGCAGGATTGATTATCGTGATTTCTTTTTCTCTGTATTCCTAAAAAGTAGAAAAATAAACAATTGTTAAAAAAATTAATTAAATTTTCAATATTTTTAACATATATAGAGAATTTTTGTTAACTTATTGTAGTTATAGAAACAAAAGAATTCTTCAGTACTATATTAACATGCTTTTTTTCTTTTTTGAAAACTTTCCAGTTGTAATCATTTAACATTATCAGTAATTATTAATAAATATTTTGATTATTGACATTTACTAAGCACATATTATGGACTATTTAGAAAATGTATGACAATGCATTTAAATTTGACTTATAGCATTATAATTAGTTTATAACTATGCTAATCTTTTGCAAAATACTAACAGATGCCAAAGTCAGTGTCTGCTTAAGATTAATACATTGCTTCTTAGAAGGAAATATTGTCTCTATCATTAACTTAAAATCTAAAATTTTTTATAGCCACAGAAATTTGAAAGATAAATTATTTATGACCCAAATTGTATTTAACTTTGAGCCAAATTTAGAACAGTATTTTCATTTTAATTTTATATTTTAATGTAAGTTACAGACTAGTTTTGATAATGTGGAGATCAAGTTAAAATTACACATAAAAAGGTTCTTCATTATTAAACAAGTCAGTTCAATTTTTATTACTTTTAATACTTAGTGTTACTACCTACTAAGCTATTAAAGCATTAAAAATTTTCTCTTAACCTCCTGAATATATATGATTAGTTTTCTTATATTCTTACAGATAATTTACAGTACCTTTATCAACTTTGCTGATGAAAGAATAGCTTTATATGGAACAGTAGGGGTTGTCAAAATAACAGATGTATTATATTCTTGCTCTAGTCGCTGGTTGAAAACTTCCATATGCAGAAGTCCAAGAAATCCCAATCTAGTAGAAAAATGTCAAACTCCAAAATATTTATGTCTCATTGGCTCTACTGTCTTATGTACTCTACTTTAGTGAACTTATTGTTACGTCAGTAACAACAACAGGAGGAGTGGAATCCAGTGAGTCATTCAGGCAATTTACATCATAATTAAATGCTATTATCATAAAATAAAATCTTCCATTGATATCTATTTTAAACCACTAGAAAACTTAATCTATAAAATAGGAAGCCACAGCGTGGAAAAGGTAAATAAAAAATGTTTTATTCACTTTATTAAGATGAGGTTATCTTCAGAAATATTCAGGCACTACTTTACTCTCCTCTAAAATAAGAGGTCTACAATATGAATGAATCTTACCTCCAGCCAGCACCCAGGGCAAGACTACTATCCCGATGTACTGTCACACTGGAGTCATTTAAAGTCAGTTTTTCTATAGCACTCTTCAGGTTATTATATTCAGATTGATCTGTAGGGTACATTCCTGGGGATACATGGATTTGTCATTATCTCATGTAATAAGCCACCTATAGAACAAAACTAATTTACTGTTTGCCAAGTTTAATATTGACCATTTTGCTTTTGTATTACTTTTCTATACTGGCTTGAAAAAAACATTGGATTCTTAAAAATCTATGCCTATTAAGTTAATTGTGAACTGAGTCATTAGTTTTAATGAATATATAATCAGATTCAGACAAACAATTTTTTGTGTTTTTTTACGAAAGGTTTAGATGGAAGAAAAACAGGATTGAATCATGGAAATTAGGTTAAATTGGAAAACAAGTTGTTTACTTCAAAAAACAAAAGCATATGATATTCCACAACCATAAATAAAACTGTTACTAGCAGAAATGAAAACTTCAACTCTTAACTCTGTATATTTAAACTAAAGACAAATTTTTACAATTTAATAACAAAAACTATTTGATAAAAACTGATTTATCACATTCTCTTTCTATCCCCATCTAAGACATCCACATCTTGACAGTCCTTCAAAATCCTAATAACTGACTGCCCAATGAAATTAAACTTAATGCTAATTCCCAGTTTAAAAAAAAAAAATAAGAAGAAAACCAAAGGCTAGACATCTTGATATACAATAACTTGATGACCTATTCCAAAAGTCTCGTGTCACATGTTAGTAAAAAGTTCCAAACTTAACATACTCAAGGCTACAATATCCTCTGTCAATTCTACAATAGTATAACAAAGACAGCTAAAAAGAGACTATTTAGTAAATGTCTACCAATAACTCATAATAAAAAAACTCAATTAGAAAAATTTTCAAATAAGAAACTAACCAGAGAAACAAGATTGTATTAGCCATGCTTTGCTATTTGGCAGCTCATTTAAGGAGTCCTAAATGATTTCCTATATAAAACTTCATCATATATATATATATGTATATATATATATATATATATATATATATATACATATATATATATATATATGGATAGACATAAATTTATTAATTGATGTAGAAATATAACACAACAGTATCCTAGCACTGCAAGTTATTTAAAATACTTAGAATGTGGTTATCTGCTAGTAATTTTTATTTCACTGCAGACACAGACTTTTAGTTTAAAAATACCTTGCCTTAACCTTTAACTTTGTGAGCTCCTCACCTGCAAATACCATTGGTTTCGCTGATTTAAACCCAGGCAAGGGCTCCACTGGATGATTATGTAAATACAGTGTATCTCCTATTTGTGCTTCAGTGACATCTTTCATCCCAGCAATCAAATAGCCCACCTGTCCTGCATATCTAAATAAAATTATTATATGCACATATTTACTGTTTTAGTGTTTCAAGTACATAGTTAAATTAGTTCTGCCTTCACAGAAAACTAGAACATAATTTCCAAACAAAACTTCATCAAAGTACAAATATGTGGACATACCAGTTCTCAGAGTTTTTCAGCCAAATAACATACCATGTCTTGTCTATTACTCCCAAAAAACTTCTGTATAAGCCTAAAGCCTTCCTCATGACTGCCAACATTTTGCAAATTAAGACTTCTAAAACATAATTTTAAACCAAGCAGAAAAATGTGTACTCTTAACAAACCTGACATGTATCTAGTTTCCCACTTATAGGAAAAAAAATTCTAAAATTTTAGAGGTTTAGCTTAGTTTAAAAATATTACCTACAAAATAACAAACATATACAGAATAAGCTACAAGAACCTTAAATGAAGATGCAATGTTAAATACTATGTGGGAGAATATAAACAGGCTTTAGAAATACCTCTCTAAAATGAAAATAAATTTTCTGACTCAAAAAATATGAGAGAGTACCATGATTTTTAGAAACAACATTAAGCACTTGAATGAGATCTGTGAGGTCACTCAGTTCAATTCCTTAATTTTTACAGATAAGGCAACAGGACCTAGGAAACAAACTATGTGCTCAAGACCATAGCTTATCGGTATCTAACACAGAATAAGCACACAACAGAACATTTGTTTTATAAGTGAACTCAGATCTGTTTTTCTATTTATTTTTTTTTTTTTTTTTTTTTTTTTTTTTCTTTTTATCGGTACCGGGGATTGAACTCACGACCGCCTGCTTGCAAGGCAGGTACTTATGCCGCTGAGCTAAATCCCCTCAGATCTGTTTTTCTAAAATGCAGTATCTTGCTAATCCCCTTCCCTTGATTTTGGCTCATCAAAGTTTTACGATAAATTCCCCGCTAAAAAAAAAGAATGAACATTTCTACATTTCTTTAAGTCTGGCTGAAATGAAATTAAATGTAAGGAAAAATATCAATATGGATATGGCTATAGGGAACTAACTCTCCTTGTCCCATAAAATACATCAATGTAGGATTCAATTTAATTCATTAAATTAGTCATAACTAGGCATGAAAAATAAAAATCATTTCTATTTTCTTTCCATAACAGTTTCCACCATTTGTCACACTTCTGACAAAGACTGTGCTATATAGGTGCTATGAATCAGTCTTTACACAGTTGAGATCATTCTAAGCACTCCAAATGAAAGAGGTAGAAACAGAAATATATACAAATAAGCATTTTGGTTACTAATACAGATTACTTACAATTTAAGAGTTGGCTGCTCATTAGGATTTAAAACTCCTACTTCATTAACTTCGTATGTCTTTTGAGTATGTGCCGATACAATTTTATCTCCTTTGGAAACCATTCCGTCAAACAATGCTACATTGGCTATCACACCTCTATACTGGTCAAAAATGGAGTCAAATACCAGAGCTCTCAGGGGATTCTTGCGATGTACCTTAGGACTATTAAACATAAGATTAAAAAATTAAAATCTTAATAAAATGCTTAGTTTCAACTTAGGTATTATGCTTAATTCTAGTTTTTGCCAGAGATATCTAACAGTCAAAACAAAAGAATCTTTGTATAAATTATGGTATATTAAATTTAATTCAACCTTGTTTAAAACAGACGATCTTTAAATTATTTATTAACGTATGTTTGTATAAAACAAATGCCAGTAATTACCAATGTATTCAAGTTCTTATGATTATCAAGAAGAAATCCCTATTTTTTCTTTATTTTTATTCACTTTCACTGTTCTATATTTGCCTTTTGTGTATTCCTAAAAGGAAAAAGTCTCATTCACTGAAAGTGAACTTGTTATATCTATTAAGTTAAATCAAATTTGTGGTCCTCGAGTAGTATAAAAACAGCACAATACTTACGGGGGTATTCTTTCGATAACTGCCTGAAGAACACTTTCAACATTTGTCCCAAGTTTAGCAGAAATCTAAAAACATATGTGTCAAAAAAAAAAGCACTTAAAGACTATACTTTTCTATACTTATGACTTGTTACAATCAGTAGGAAAAAACAATTTGAATACAGTAAAAGGAAAAGCACAAACTAAACATACACTGACTCAAATACCTCTTTGTACTACACTTAGGTGGTTCTATGGCTTAGGTTTGGCTACAAAAATATTGTCCTTATGGTGTTGAAGGAAAAGACATGGAGTTGAAAATATCATGTTATTCTCTGGAATATATGACTTCAGTAAAAACTTATAGTTTTGACTTTCCATTTCCTCACCTTAAAAATGAAATGATTATTCATATTTGATTACTGATCTTATTCATATTTTGTCAACAACATATGTAGCTGGCAAGCAAAAATAAGGTACACTAATATTTTACTATTCTTCAAAAGCAAGCCGATCTAGGCACATGCCTATGACAGAACTTAGTCATCATTACTAAACAGACTGTGTCTGAAATCTTGACTTTAAAACCCATTCCCTGAAAACTTACCACTCATCTTCAAAGTTACTCTATAGCAAGATTTTTCTGCATTGATACTACTGACATTTTGGGCCAGAAAATTCCTTGTTTGGGGAGGGTGCCCTGTACATTGTACGAGGTTTAGCACCAACTAGTGCATTTCCTCTAATCACAGGATGCCAATACCCACCTCCTCCAATTTTAACAACCTAAAATATTTGACGGGGAGAATCACAACCCTTGAGGACCAGCACTCTAGATTCTAGCGTCTTCTCTACAATTAGCTTTAACTCTTATCAGTTACCTCCCATTCCCTTTCCAATGTCAGACTCTAAAGTCTACCATCTACAATTACTTTTTACAACCAATTTTCATTATCTCCCTATCTCAAGCAGCCTGCAAAACCTCACCTTAGAATGCATCCAATGTTGTACCTTCTCTAAACATGGAGCAGTTTAATATTCCTAGATAAAAATCAAGTAACTGGTCTGGTTCTTTTCTTCAAATTCATGACTACAAATTTCAGTGTGGAATTAACACTTCCTGGCTTCCTCGGATGTGTCTCAAGAGAATTTACATTACTAGGACATAATTTCACACTACCTTTTCAACCTACACATTTTTTTACCTTGGCCAATTCACTTTTATTGAGGACTATGTTTTTCATCTCCTGAAGGAAACAAAAAATATCAAAAACTCCCTCACTCATACATACAAACCTGTCTGCCCTGTACTTACGACGTTTCGGCTTTTCTCATTACAATATGAGAATCTGTTTCTCTGCAAATATGACCCTTTTCTTGCTCTGTCTTCTCCAAAATTCTTCAAGCTCTTACTCATCAAACCATAATTTAACAATAAATAGTCTAACTTCTAGGACACTTTCTTTAAATACATTTTTCTCCCTAGAAAATCATATGCATATCTTTGGCTTTAAATACCACATACAAGCTGATTTAACTCCTACACATCCTCTCTGACCAATATCTTTCTATAGAAGCCAGAACTGTCTACACAAAATCTCTTCATGAGTATCTAACAGTCATTTCAAACTTACTATGTCCAAATAGAGCTGGCTGTGTTCTCTCAAGGTCTTTTCTCCTCCATTTATCTATATATATTGATAAATAACTCTTTACATGTAAGCTATCATCCAGTCTTATTGTACCTAAAAGCACCCTATTTCTGCAATGGTTCCAGCACATAATTAGCCATGACAATTTTCTACTTCCACTATTGCTAATTGTTTTTCCTGGCAAACTGAACAATCAGTGTATTTCCCTATGTTGCTTTAAAGTCCTTTCATTATCTTAGAATAATTGTCAACTCTTTATCACATCAAAAATCCCAGCCGACTTGAATCCTGCATATACCTATGAAACCATCTTGCCCACTTTCTATTCCTTCAAAATGCCACAGCTTGTCCTATTTTAGAATGTTTGTATTTTCTATTTCCTATTCTTGTAACAACTTTCTAAAAATTTCATTGCTTTAGTCTGTTTTACCAGAAAAGCTTTCCTTGAGTTATTCCATGTCATAGAAACTCTTAAGGAAAAAAGGGTTTTCCATTATTATGCTATTTTATGTAGAACCATGTAATTCATTAAATGAATACCTTGTCTTGTTCAGTAATTTCTACGCTTACTTATTTTCTGCTTTCCCAAATACACATGCAGAGGTTTTGTATGATTTATTCAACGCTACACCTCACTGACAAACAGTAAGCAAGTATCTGAATGAATTTTGTAGAGCTTAAATCAGAAGTTATTTGTAATTAAATATAAGAAAATCTGGATATAAAAGCCATAGTCGATTGCTTTGTATGAAGTTCCTCCTCTTTAGAATAAAAATCATTAAATAACATGTATTCTATACAAGAAAAAAATGACTTTATTCAATTATTACAGGTTGTATGTAATTATCTACTACTCAGGATTTTAAAAACCTAGTTTCTCATCTGAAATCTGCTCTTTCAAAAACCAAATGAAGTTTGAGAGGATAATGGCAGATTGCTTCAGTAATAGTCTCCATGTAGGATAGCAGATTGTGGCTATTTAATAAGCAAACTATCATTTTAAAAGTAAATTAAAATTCAAATTTACAGCGGCATCAATTTTGATGTTTCCTAAATTCCTATAAAAAATCACATCCATCTCTCCATTTAAATATCACATGCACACTGAAAACTACTACATAACCTTAGCAAGCTTTATAAAAACTTTTATGAATGAGATTTTTGTCAATTCCATGAATAATAAAAATGTTTTGAAATTGTTTGAACTTCCTCTTCAGGGCTAAAATGGCATTTAAGAAATACAGATATTCTTTAATGAACTACTTATTTAATGACTGTTTTAGACTTACGACTTGCCACTCAGACTTAAGATTCATCTTTTTAAAGAGTTGTATGTATCTTGTTTATATATTTATGTACAGTATACTGATTATATACTGTAATTTTTGATTATGCTGTATAGTAAAGTACTGTAGTTTTATATTGTTACATATTACAATACTGCCTGTAAAAATTATGCAAATAAAAGCAGTCATAAAGTTGGATTTTCTTTTGACTGTTCCTCTGTTCTGAATATTGTAAACACAATATAATTCCTCATTTAGTGACTAATTCATTTAATAACCTAGTCGTAGGACTAGAACTCAAGTGTTAAATGAGGAATATGTGTGACACTACAGTGAACTTCAGAAAGCTTATGTTTTAGTCCTGGCATAGGGACTGGCACAGTGAGTGTTCCTGTGACACTGATAAAATCTATGAAGTTTAGTTCATTTAAATCTAACATAGCAATAATCTCTGTAGGTCATAATAATGTAAAATGGGTTATGGTAAGAATTAAATGAAATAATAAACTGCTATAAAACTATAAAAATATTATACAATGCCATGTGCTCATATACCACTTGGTCCTATTAACTGAGAATTTTTGCAGTATAATCAGTATTTTTCAAAAGAAAGATATTTTACCTTAATGCATTCATTCCTTGGAATGTCAAATACTTTTTCAATTTGTTTCTCAACCATTTCAGGATCTGCATTCTTCAGATCTATCTTAAAAAGAGAAATCCACTGTTAGTGTAATAAAAATAGAATGTATTATGGTATTATGTTTTAACAATTATTAGAGACAGTTAACAGCTTATCTTCTTTAAACTGATCCACTCTATGATTTTTCTCAAAGTAATTTAAATGATATATAAATAATACAATTTTTAAAGCTTATTAATTAGCATCATATGACCCGATCATAAAAGTTACCATTACATGAAATCTGGTAACAGTCTGTCTTACCTACAGGCAGTCTTGCTTTTCTTTTACTTTTTTTCCACAAGGTCTTACTGTGTAGCCCTGAACTAGTTGTGATCCTCCTGTGTCAGGTGTCTCGAGGGCTGGGATTGCAAGTGTGTGCCACCAAGCGCAGCCAAGTCTTAGTTCTCTTAAACTAAGCCCATATTAAGAAATATAATTTAATGCAATTATTTCAATTAAGATTTTTAATTTTGATAAATTGATATTTATAAACATTACTCAGGTGAGCTCTGAGATTCTCTCTTAGATCATAAGCTTTTCTATGTATATTTTTCTGTATATTTAGTGTGACAGACATGTATATGTATATAATACACATGTTCTGTCTACCTGTATCTATTTGCTACAGAAATGGCCTTCCCTTCCCTTGTGACATGTGCTCGAGGGGCACTACCTTTTAAACTATGTACAAGGTTATAGGAGTCAGACCTACACTTCTCTTACATGAAGCTGAAAGACACAAATCACACCAGCACACTAAATAAATGGCTGGATTTTCCACATAAAAAAAGTACACCTGACATTTAAACAGTAAGTATACTTTCAGAAAGTGAAGTAGTAAGTAGCATTGGTACCTTATTATAATTACCTTGTTTATAACTGGAATTACTGATAGCTGTGCTTCAAAAGCAAGAAAGAAGTTTGCTACAGTTTGAGCTTGAATACCCTGGAAATATGAAGACATACAACTCAGATGATCATTCTACTATCTATCACAAAATACATTCCATCCACTTTCATCAAGATTAGTTTTACATGACTCTAGTAACAAAATTAAACAAAATATCATGAATCTGCCTGCTACAGTTTGGATTTTGAATTTCCCCCAAGCCCTATGTATTAGGCATGGTCACCTGGATTTTATTATTTAGGAGATAAGACCCAGAGGAGGTCCTTAAGTCATTGAGGCTGTTTCTTTCAAGGGGATAGTGGAATCCTGGTCCCTTGCTCATCTTCTTTTTTGCTTCCAGGGTGATAAGGTGAGCGGTTTTATCCTATTGCGCAGGCCTGCTACAACGGGCTGCCTTAACACAGGTCTAAAGCAACAGGGCCAATGAGTCATGGACTGGAACCTTCAATACAGACCTCAAATAAACTTTTTACGCTTCTCTCAAGGATTTCAGTATAGGGATGAAAAGCTAATTAACACTGGGCATCCCACTTTTCTCTGCAGTTTTATCTTGGGGGTCAAAATAAAGATAGATGAGTTAGCCAAACCAAGCAGGGTGAACCAGTGGACGTTTAACAGGGAGCTTCACACAAAGACAAATTACAAACTACAGAACCTACTCTCCATGTACCCGAATCATTCCCTGTGATAATTTCTTTCAGTTCAGGAAACATTTTTTTTGGAAGTCCCTCTCTGTGCTAGGAACTGTGTCAGTCATCAGAAACCTATGAAACATGGAGCCTCAAGGGCATCAAAGCCTCAGGACTCAGTCTCGTGGTACTGTTTATAAAGCCTGGTGCCATGTATTCTGATTGTGAATGCAGACTGATTTTTCTTGGCAGATTCAAGAAATGTTCAATGAAATAACAGAAAAAGTCCCTCTGAGTCTTGAATGAAGATGCTATGAAAGACGTGCATATCAAAAACATTTTAATACTGTGTATCACAGCTTTCTATAGCTCTTCACTGAATGTTTTACTATGTTTTGCCCTCACACCACAAAAGAACTTGGTAGGACTACTGAATTTTTTCTCAGACATAGTACTTTTCAAATTATTGCCTTAAAACCAGCAAACATGACCTGAAAACATAAGATATTTAATCTCTGTTACAGACCAATATGGAATTCAGATAAGAACAGCTAAAAGTGGTGGGATTGGTTTTGGTTTTGATAACATACTGATAATAGAGCATTACCCTTCTACAAAAAGTAGAACATCTTCAACAGTTCTTCGATCATCTTGAACAATGTAAAAGATAAACTAATCAACCAATAGGATGCTTTAATGTAATTACTCTGCAAGTTCTACTAACATAATATATTTAAAAACAAAACAATTATTTCCAAGATATTTAAGGAATACCTCTCAAAATAACCAAATACGAATATTATATTATATAAATTGAAAAATCTTACCTCATTTGCATCAATCACCAGTAAAACACCCTGGCAAGCAGAAAGTGACCTGGACACCTCGTAACTAAAATCAACATGGCCCTAGAAACAAAAATAGAGTTACTTTTTAAAGGGCAGCTGTAATTTTGGGGGGAAGGACATAAAAAACTTTAAAAAGTTGTTAAATATAGACAGTTCTACAGTACTTTGTAGTATGTTACAGTAGCACTAAAATAACTAGAAAACAAGCAAAGGAAGATGTAACTTACTGGTGTATCAATAAGATTTAAAAGGTATTGCTTTCCTTCAAAATTGTAAAAAAGAGACGCTGTCTGTGCTTTAACAGTGATTCCTCTTTCTCGTTCCACTTGCAATTTATCAAGAACTTGCTTATTATTTTTTGTCTTATCAATTGTTCCTATAAACAGAAACACTGATATTTCTCTGGGGTTCGCAAAAGAAAATGTTACATGTAAAATTAAAAACAAAATTTAAGAGGGCATGGTAAATTCACAGCTACAGCAGTAAAGCACATAAATGAAAATACCTGTTAGTTCTAACAGCCTGTCGGCTAAAGTACTTTTGCCATGATCTACATGTGCAATGATACTGAAATTTCTAATATCTTCAACAGGAAATTTAGACATGTCTGGTTTTTCCTAAAAAAGAAAATACCACATTAAGATGTATAAATTTTGCATACTATGAAACAAGTACACTAATTCAAAGAATATTCTTTTAATCTTTAAATGACTTTACTTCTAGCAGTTGTACTTTGTATGATTTTTCTGACAGTTGAGAAAATTCCTAAGCTCACATTACAAGTAACACTTTACAAGAGGACTCATCAACTACATCAGTTCCATAGTTAAAGATGACTATTGGACTAAATAGAATGCACTTACTTAACACATCCTACTTACAGGGTCAATCAGGAATTCAATTTATTTTCATGGAGAAAAGAAAACCTAGGACTCCTTGAAGGATGCTTTATCTGGCAAACACTCTTAAGAGGAGCTACAGAAAAGCTGAAAGAATAAAAGTAAATTCTCTGCTTCTTTCACACATTAATGACCAACCAGATCTGTTTAAACTTCTGCATTCTGAATACAGCCTTCGAAGTTTAACTTATACACAATTTTGTGCTTTTAACCTCTCTTGAGAGAAAGAAAAAAGATTACATAAAATGGGACTTTTATCATTTAAATTTTTAAATATTTTAAAACCAAATCTGTTTTTAGTGCGAACATAATAAAAGAGGCATACAAAAACGATTTTCACTTGTAACATCCTAGTTTTTCAACTCTATAAACATTTTCTTTCATTCTAATCAGTTTCATACTTAATAAACAATGTAAAATCACGATGTCTAAAATTTGCCTTTTTAAAAATCTATGTAGGGCATATAAAAGTACAATTATATCTTAAACGCTACAAAAAATACAAGTTGTATTTTCAGCGATTTTTTTGATCATTCAAGTCAAAAGTTCGTAGAACTTTTTAACTCTGAATTGATAAATGTATACAAATAATTCTAAAACCTCAGCTATCTTTGAAAAAGCCAAAATGATTATAGAAAGCCTTGTTCGTCCAATTAACTCAACTTGCACTCAATCACTTCACTTTTTTGCCTAAAATGTATCACTTCAGTTATCAGTAGTGTAGTTTCTTGTGTTTTGAAATCCCCCACCTCAAATCACGAGAATCAATATTACACAGGGTTTTTTCCCTAGCTGATGTACACCTGTAATTCCCAGCCTTCTGAGGGGCTCAGGCAGGACACCATAAGTTCTAGCTTAGGCTGGGCAATTTAAGAGACTGTGAGAGACTAGTTATCAAAATAAAAAGGGCTGGGGACCTAGAGGATGAAGCCAATAGTCTTAGTGTTCAAACCCCAGCATCAGCGAAAAGGAAGGAAGGAAGCAAGCAAGCAAATGGAAGACATTAACTAGAAATTCTTGCATTCTATACATTGGCTTAAAAAAAAGTTTTAGGTGAAATGTCGGCAAATTGCTAATGAATGTTTAATTGGTATTGCATTCAACAAAGGAAGAGGCAAAGTCAGAAAAGGGTCAAGGTCACAGGAAAAGGGAGGTTATACCAGCAGCTTCCAAGGAAGTTAAATGACTAGCCCAAGGTCATACTGGAGGTGCAGTGGAAAGACGATAAAAGCGGAAAGCAGACTGCGCGCTTCAGGCTCCGCCGCCCCAGAAATAACTGGAAGCTGGGTCTGCACCCCGTGCTAGGAACCCCGGAACGTGCTTCAGAGGCATCACCTTGCGCCCTGCAGAACTGCAGAGCCTGTCTCCAGCCCAGCACTCCGCAGCTGCCCCGAAGCTGGGCGCGGGCCGGGGCCTGGGTAGCTCGGATCGCGCGGCCCCTGTACCCCATGGCAGGAGCACGCGTCCACGCCGACAGCCCCGGCCCGCGAGGGTCCACATGGCCCAGGCGCCCAGCCGTCAGAAGAAAGACTGGAAAAGCGAGAAAGCCATAGCTGTAGGATGCGTTTGTTCCTAAGCGCCCCCGCTAGGGCGTGCAACAAAGACTGTACAGCAGCACAGTTCTCTCTGCTCCCGACCCGACGCCTGGAACCGCCGCGCTCGCTGACGCACGTACGCCAAAGTACGGGATGACGTCATCTCGTTACGCGGGGCGTGGCTGTCACGTGAATAGAGGCTTTCCGTCCCCTCACCTGTGCTAGGCATTGTAAGAGAGTAGAAGGTGTTTATTTGGGTCTGTTCTGCGATAATTTCCTGCAGTGTGTCCCGTGAGTTCCCCGTGTTACCCCAGAGAAGGGAGACCGGGTGACATGTGTGAGAACACGCAGGGATGCGGTGCTAGGGTCAGATATGCGACCGCAAATCTGATAGCTGAGCCTGCGGTGCTTTTCGCCAGCCCACAGGTGGAAGGGAGAGCGGCAGGAGCTGAGTTTCAGGTCAGGGGTAAAGATGCTTTTGCCACGTCGGTGCGAATTAGCCTCCTCACAAGTTAGTAGAAGAGTGTAAAGGAACTTTTAAAGTTTGGAAGTCGACATGTATTCCTTCGTGTTGCCTGTAATTGCTGAAATACTGAAAGTATATCAGAAACGGGAAACATTGATTGTAACAGACCGAGAAAGTTTTGGAGAAGAAAAACATCTATCCTGAATGCGTGGCTCCGTGATCTTCAAGTTTTTCTTTCATCAAATGCTTACCTTACGAAGTATAGAGCACTTGTTAAGTAAAAATAGAGGATTGATTGACATTGTGTCTGTCTCCTAGTGTTTTCCTTGGACTTTTCTGGAGTATCCAGAGTTGAGTGTCAAGCGGGAACATAGCAGCTGCGTTCAATTCACCATTTGGACCGAAATCCTATATAATGTTTCCAAAGCCTTCAGGCTTTTTTTCATTTGGTAGATTTCTTGGGATCAAAAATCTTGTTAACAGGCTTTGAACAACTATTATGACTCAAAGAATTCCTTGTTATACAACTAATTCTCATGTCATCTTTGTTTCTTTAAATATGACTGAGCATGATACTTTAAGACACTTTAAGTTCCCAGACTTTAATATTATACTGGTCCTCACTATATTCTAACAAAAGTAAACGTAGCCTGTCATTAAAATGCTAAGAAAGTTATTAGTGGTAGTATAGTGCATTAGAGAACATGGTCCAGAGTGAACTAAACTCAACTTACACAAAACAAGCTGTGAAGTTACTGAATCTAAAAGGAAGTTTTCCCCCTAAAAGTAGAGGCTCATCAAGCAAAGGAATAATCAAGAGCACATTGTACTTTTTTCTGTTCTCAGCACTATTCTACACAACTTTTACACATTAATTCACATTATCCTCACAGACCCATCTAAGAGAAGAGTCTTATTTCTCTTGCACAGGTAGGAGAAAAATATGGCCTACCCATTTTAACTACTCAGAATCACACAATGATAAAACAGTACTGAGAGTACAAGCAGATTGACTTTAGTACCTGCATCTTTCAGTGCTCAGCAGAGGTACAGGTGAGTGAAAACATAGAACATACAGTATTAATACTTGCAGAAGATAATGTCCAAAATTCAGAACAGTTATTTTGAAGCAAGGGTTTCTAAACAGCTCATGTATGTTGAAGACTCATAAATCACAAGCCATTTTCCCCTAAGAACAAGTGTGTAATGTGGAGGTTGTGTTCTTTTACAAGTTGCCTCACAGCTGTTACATTATGTTTTAAGCATCGAAAAGTGTGTATTAGTTTGTTAGTGTTGCCATAATAAAATGTCATAAGTTGAGTAGTTTAGACAATAGTGATTTATTTTCTCACAGTTTTGGAGGTGAGTAGTCCAATATCAAGGTATCTGCACTGTTAATTTCTTCTGAGATTTTTTTACTTTGGTATGTAGACTACCTTCTTGGTTCCTCACATGGTCTTCCATCTATAGATACCTGTGTTCTAACGTAACTTTGCTTGCATGGACGCCAGTTCTACTTGATTTGGGCCCATGATAATCCCCACACTTTCACATAATTGCCTTTTTAAAGATCCACATCTTCAAACATTGCCATACTCTGAGGTACTGGAGGCTCCAGCTTTAATATATCAATCTTAGCAGTAGAGGAACGCAATTCAGCCCATAACAAAAGGAATGATAGATAAAAACATAAATAACTTTTGTGACCAAATTTTGTTTCAATATTACTGTCTTTGTGGATCATTTTTATTTCCAACAATATCATTAATTTAAATGTTCTAAAATAACATTACCACAGCCATTAAAAGTGTACACACAGTTTTAAAGCATATTCATAGTGTGTCTTGTATTGCTGTTAGGAGTTCACACAGTGCCATCTTGTGTCTACAGTATTAACTACATCGTAGAACTCTGGGCCAGTTTTTAAGAGTTGTTTTAAATTTTTTAAAACAAATTTGGAATGTACATTGGGGCATTATAACTACTTTTACATTAGCACTAAAATAAAAATTACTTGAGGGAGAAAACAGTTCCATGACATATATATATATATATATATATATATATATATATATATATAAAAATAGATCCAGTTCTTGAAGAACTTTGAAAAAGTCTTAATAGCTAGCATTTACCATTATCCTGTACAAAAGCCACTGTATGTAAGAAAGTTGTAAATAAAGCTTTTTGCTTTACAATGTTTGTCCAATAATGTATGAAATTTACTCAGAAGGAAAGCTATTGAGGTGATGAGAAAAAAAGAACATTTTTCTATTTGGTAATCTCAGGAGGACACAGCAAGTTCTGGCAGCAAATTAGTGGCAGAGGATGAGGATGAAGGAGTGACAGACATTTGGAGTCTGTCTTAGACCTAGGCCTCTTCCTAGCAATGGGCTGATTCATAGTAAGTGAACCTTTATGAATCACTGGTCCTAGCTGAGACCTGTAGTGGCCTATGAGGCCAGAGATACCTCAGAAGGCAAGATAAGGCCACAGCTGAGGACATCTGGCTCCAACCCCAATTAACTAGATAGAGACTGCAGCTGCAAGCATCGCACTCCTACCATAAATAACATCATGGACACAAAGCATTTCTTCTAAATTGGCATAATTCACTACTTGTAGAAGTTTTTGAAGTGACTTCCAAGGTCCTGCACATTTCCTGCACTTTCCTTAGTATCCCTTGTCTTTGTTTGAAACCGTAATATATATGGTTGGCCCAGAGAAACTCTTTGTCTTAACTTCAGAGTCAGAAGCTCTCTAGGGGGTTTTGATCCTCCTGGAGCTCTAAAATCATACCACTTGTCTCATTTATTTAAGCTTTCACCGTACACTCATTTGGGAGACTAGGGATCTGGGCCAGATGATACTATGTAAACTTATATATTTGCTATAACCTGTTTATTCCATTTTACAAAAGGATACCCTAAAGTATGTTAACTTGTCTCTTGTCAACAATTTTATTTCCCAAACTCTGAGTTCAAAATGTCCCTCAATATCACAGGTTTTTTTGTGACCTTTTCACAGATAGCTTCTAAAACTTTAGCCCTGAAATTTTCTACCAAGTTTCAATTATAATTATCTTTTGGATATTACCAAACACCTAAAGTTTCACATTTTGGTAAGCCAATACGGCTAGTCTTCAGCTTACTAAGTGTAAGAAAATTTGAAGCTACCCCAAATCCCTTTCCCCACCAAATCAATTACAAATTGTCCTGCTATAAACTTGGGTGCACATATAGCTCTGTGGTATGATGTTTTTAATCACATCTATATTCTACCAACAATCTTCTCAGGGAAATCTAGACTTTTTCTGTTGTATACCTCGACACCCTTTTTTAGTCTCTCTGGATGTTTTTTACTGTAGTATCCCACTTCCTGTTATTAGAATCTGTATCAGCTTGGTAGGGCCACCATAACAAAGTACTACAAACTGAGTTGTTTCAACAGAAATGGGTTTCACAATTCTGGAGACTGAAATCTGAAGAGAAGTTATTAGTGAGATTGTTTTTTCTGAGAGTGGAGAGAGACAGCCTGTTCCATTCCTGCCTATAAGCTTCTTGTGGTTTTTGTGGAAGTCCTTGGACATTCCTTGCTGTCTAGCAGCATTAGGAGAATCTCTGCCTTTATGAGAGGATATTCTCCCTGTGTCTCTTTAACAGTCTTCCTTGAGCATCTGTCTCCAAAATTTCTCCTTTCATAAGATCTGAAATGTTGGGTTAAGTCTCATCATAATAACCTCATTTTAACTTGACTATCTCTTTAAAGATTCTGGTTTCCGTATTCACATTGTGAATTAATGGATGATTAAAACTGAAACATGTTATTTAGGGAAGACATAATTCAACTCATAAAGTTACTCAACAGTTAGCCTCCAGCTGTTCTAAGAGTCAACACCTTTCTCTCCAAATCTCAATGCTGGTTAAGAACCTGAATGAACTTTTATCTTCCTGAGATTAAAGAATCAAACAGAATCTATATTATCATTCCTGATAGTTTGTGAAAATTATCTTAAAGTGAGCCTTAAATACAAAGAATTATTTAACAGTAACAACTTTAAAACCATTTATGTTCAAGAAAATACACTATAAACCCACATAATCCACATACATTCTTATGTAGTGAAGTTTTTTCAAATGACTGTCATAATACCATCTATTATATTTGTTTTCTACAGCAATCTAATTACTTTAAAGATAGCAATATACATGTATTAAAATTTATTAGCTTACAGTTAACATGAAATTACCATTCTAGAAAGTCCAGCATGGCTCAGTTGAGTTCTCTCTTTAACCTTACACAAGACTGAATTGCAGGATATAATCAACAAGGGCTTTTCCTTTTTTTAATTACCTAGGTAATGTCTACTTCCAGTTTCATTCAGGTTTCTAGTTGCTTTGGTTGAACATAGTTTGTGTCCTTCAAGGGTCCACTGTGATTAAATGGTTGACTCCCTTGGCAGACTTGTTGGAAAGAGGTGAAATCTTTGAGTGCTTGGATCTTGGCCTTTGGAGTCACTGGAACTGTACCTTGAAGGGGACTGGGGGATTTCTCTCTCTCAGTCTGTTCCTAACTTAATATGTAATGACTTGCTTGCTCTCATGTGGGAAGCCCTGTAATTGGCTGCCACCTTATATCTGTAGGCCATACCTTAACATCTGCAGCCGTACCACT